GGGGGGGCACTCCCGGGGAGCCGCGGCGCGGTAACCGTCGGGTGTGTTGTTGCCCGCGACCGAATGCTGGTGTGTATGGAGACAGGCGTATGGGAGGAAGCACGGTTGGCGCCTCGCGAGGACAGTAGGGGCCAGAGGGAGGAACGCGTGTTCCTGGATTGTCCTGACCGCAACCTCTCGCGCGATCCATCCTGGCGATTAGGGCCGATGGAAGACGCAAGGGGGAGCGGCCAAGACAGCTCGCTCTGGCAGGAGTGCGGGCTACGGAAACTAGGAGTGTTGTGGTGATGCCTGCTGCTACGTTTAGCAGGAGCGATGTAGGCCATGCCTCAAGGAGCGTGCCGTCAGGCAGAAAGTTGTCACTGTGCTAGGTTGGGAAGAGGGACCTGTATCGGGCCATAAGACATGCGTGCCCTGTAGCGAAACAGGCCTAGACATCTCTTTGCTATCATATGATGTATGTAGGACGGGCTCTGAGACAGACGGGGAGCGTCCACGAGACACGCCGGACAGTGGCGAGCGGATGGAAGCAGAAGCCCAGTGAAAGTATTTACATAACTAGCACCTCAGTGTCCCTTCTGGTGGTATGCTCAAGGCCTCGGCTACTTAGGACTAGGAAGACAGGATGTCCATGTGTGAGAGCTTCTCTTCTTCGCCCCCAAGACTCTCAGTAGACCGTAGATGCTTGCCAAAACCCGTAGTTCTGTCATGAAAGTAACAGAGACCTGATGACTTGTAGTCCTCTAGCTGCTACTCAAGCTTCCCATGTGTGCATCTGATATTGACTTGGCACGGTTTGGCTGCCGCATGCTGTGGGTAAGGGACCTGTGGAGGTCAAGGGCCGGCGGAGGGCTTATATGCGAGCTCTATTCGTATATTGGGCCGGTGGCAGTGATTGTAACTGTGGCAGCTGGCGAGATGATGTTAGCATTGCACCTGTCCCGCCAAGTATACGGAGATGGGCAGGAGACGGAGACGTATGGGAGCGAGGAATGCAGTGTCGAACAAGGTTAGCTCAAACGCCAAGAGAAACTCCAGCAACAGCTACCAAAGTTCCTCTGCACATATGGGACCCACAGGCAAAAGGTGTGGCAGAGAAGAGGGGCATGTAGCGGCAGTGGAGAATCGATATGTTTGTCAGATCAGACCGTTGGAATGTGAATGGATGCCGCAAACCCTGGGTGATCTGGGTTTATATCAACGAGTGCACCGGAGTGATGGAGTACACCGCAGCGCAGCGCGGATACTATGTAGCCACAGAAGACATTAGTGACTCTGCTGGAAGCTGGAAGTCCTGTGGTATTGCATGTCCTCGTCGTGTGCGGTTTGTGCGAGGCTAAGCGTTTTCCTGCTTGTTTATCGTGAGCTTTCACCAGAGCACCTGCGAGGCCGTCGCCAAGCTTCTCCCCGTGCGGTTCGCGCCGAACCTGGGGCTGTACCTGTGGCAGACGGACGGCCCGGCCTACAAGCGCATCGCCTTCTCGCCCGCCTACCTGTCCTTCAGCTTCCGGGCCAACAACACGGGCTCGCAGACGCTCGTCATCAAGGTCCCCTTCCGCCTCCTCAGCCTGACCCTGACCCAGCCCATCGTCGGCTCCCCGACCCAGTACTTCCCCTGCAGCGGCCCCCGCGTGCTGGGCCCACGGCTCGGCCGCGCCTTTCTGCAAGCCGCCTTCGTCGCCGTCAACTTGGGCGAGAACTACAGGGGATCGTGGATCCTGGCCCAGGCGCCCGGCCCCAACATCCCCGGCGCCGTGGACCCGACGTCCATCAAGCCGCTGGATACAGCGCTCTGCGCCTCGCGAGACTCCTGGGAGAACAGCTGGGACGGCATCTGGTCCCTGATCGCGGCCGACGGCTCGCAGGAAGACGTCAAGCCGCTGCCAAATACAACGACGGGCGCCGTCGCATCCGAGCCTCCACCCAGCCCGCCGCCCGTGGCGCTCATTGCCGGCATGGTGGTCATGTCGGTGGTCATCGTCGTCCTCGCGGCCGCGCTGGCCTTCTTCCTCGTCCGCCGGAGAAGGAAGGGGAGGGGCAGCAAGCTGCAGGCGGGGCTGGACCCGGACGGGCCAGAGCGCCACGAGCTGCACGCGCCCAGCGGCGCCCCCGCCAAGAGCACGTTTGGTGGCGGGACGAGCGGAGAGGAGGCGGGAAAAGAGCTATGCGTGGCGTCTCCGTACTCGGCAGCGACAGCGAGCTCGCCCTTTTCGGCGGCGACTACGTACGCGGAGCTCTCGCCGGACGGGAGGTACACGCACGACGCAAGATTACCAGGTCTGCCGTACAAGTGGCAAAGCCACCAGCAGCCAGTGGAGCTGGATGGCGGCGTGTGGTCTCCGTCTAGGGAGGCATCGCCCGCAGCTCGGCAGTCGTCGCCACATCACCAGGGTCACCGGCCGCGGAGTCCTTCTCGCAGCTTTTTCTCATAACGGTTTTTGCATTGAATGTTATATTTTAGCTTGTAGCGTAGTAATGGTACGTCGCATCCCTTTGTAACCACATGGGAGCACAGCACAGCCCATGGCCTACCAGCGTCTTTGCTCGACGTGGCTGTTCTCCCCATCGGTTAGGTCATAGGCAGCCTAGGCTACGTAGATCATGCCTCTGATTCTGTCTCCCATTCCGAGCTCGAGTCTTCTAGCTCTTCCACCTCAGCTCTGTGGCCGGGACACCAATATTGACCGCAATCCTCCCCGACCACAGTGATTTTACCCTCTCCAGCCGACATGACCTGATCGTAGTAGGGACATAGATGCTCCACCCCCTCCCAAATGTCCCTGAAGTCTGCCAGCCTGTACGACGACTGGCGGCGCCATGCTGGGTGTAGGCTGGCCCAGAAACGCGGAGAATGCGGCTGCTGCTCCTGTCTCCTGAATTGCTCAACATCGTGGCCTGTCGACGCTAGTGCTGCGTCCCAGACGTCCCCAATGTAACTCGAGGTATCGTCATCTTCCCCGTATGCAATCGCTGTGCAGCTTCGCCCCTGCCACGTCGCGTGAACATCGGCTCCCTGTGCCATCAGGTACTTCATCGTTTGCACAGCGTCTTGGTGGGAAAGATATCGACGGCACTTCTGGCGGCCCCGAATCATGTTCTCGATAGTGACAACCAAAGGCGGTGGCTCATCGCTGAATAAACCATTGACGCTGGCTCCCGCTTCCACTAAAACCCGGAATGTTGAAGGGCTGGGGTGGTAACCCTCAGAAGCAATCGAGAACAAGCTTCGTCCTAGAATACGGTGCCGACTGATGTCAATGGTTGAGGATGCGGCGCACAGGACGGCTTGGAGGTGATTCTGTAACAGGAACTTTTAGTACCAACGAGGCCTAAAACCAAACAGAGCGCAACGGGTGGTAGGTGACTTCTTGGGCATGTTTTGTAAACCTACCTGGTCATATGGGAGCCTAAAAGCGTCGAGCAGGAGGGCATCGCTTTCAACTACTGCCCCATGCCCAACTAAATATTTGACACACAATGCGGCATTGTCATGGCTCGTGGCACTGAATAAGTTATGTGACCCGAGGAGATCAAGCGGACTATATCCAATATAAGAAATATTAGCTAACTTTCAATGCCGTATTCGGAAAACGTATTGCAGGAGGCATCTCTTACGTGTGACCCGTTGTAGAAATCCCCCTAATTATACACAGCCAAGGATTTCTGGCAATACTTGTCTCGTCATTAGGGTCTGCTCCGTGCTCGAGAAGGAATTTGCAGATATCTGCAGAATCCACTTCGCATGCGTACTTGTGTAAGCAAATTAAATGTTAGTGATATCTGCCGATTGTCTCTCAATAGTTCCCTTACCAAGTAAACACTTACGTGAAGGAGAGAGGCCCCAAATTCATCTCTATCCTTGAGAGATGCCTTTCCGTCGCTGATGAGACTGATGAGTTTGTCCAGCCGCCCATCCCTGATCGACTGGAAGACGTCGGAATAGCTCGGAACGACGCGGTGAACTGCTACTATCGGCGCCAACACGACTCGGGCCCCACTATAGTAGTTCAGGGCTTCCACAACGGACGCTTTCAGAATAAAACCGCCGGTTGACTCGTTGTAACGACTCCGGATGGCAATTTCCGATCGCACCTCGGTATGGCGATGGCCCACTTGACGCTCTCGTTGCTGGTCTTGCTCATCGTGTATCTTGTTGGATGTGGACGTGAACCGACTTCTTTTGATATAAAGATCGGCATGTTGCGTGTTGAATTCCATGGACGTACTGCCCTCGCAAATTCGATTTTCTCCGATGAGTGAAGGCGCTCGCATGGCTGATAGGCGATGGTGAGCAAAGGACGTGGGCAACGTTGAGGGTACGAAGCCGGAGACTCACATGCAGGGTTGAGTCTTGTCAGCGTATCCAGCGCAAGGTGGCCCTGCGGCTGCTTCTCGAAGTGGAATTTTATCTGCTCCAAGATTTGCGTGGCGTCTTCCGCGCGAGTTTGATAAGACGCGCCGGGATCATATGATTCCGCTTTCGCCTCTCTGATTAAAAATTGAAGAATGCTGGTTATGGCCTGCCTGATTGAGTTACTTTTCTCGCCTGAGACGACCTGGCTCTTCTTGTCAACAAGCCTTTTCAACGTGGCGATGGAGGCCTGGAGCTCAGCTTGAGCTTTGGCGTCTTCATAGCTACTGGAAGTGGACGTCTTCGATGCCAAGGCAGACAGCTTGTCCAGTATCGCCCTAGATTCAGCCGTGTTGGACAGAAGCACCTCGAGGTCTCGTAAAATTGTGCTCTCGAATCTCCCTTGGCGTGATGCAGACTCGCCAAGTGACGCTTGTTGTTGATGCAGGGTTGCTTGAGTGGTTGTCTGGCACGCGACGATATCTGCGAGGACTCTTTTGTTCCCCATCACTGTGTCGTGTATCGTGACTTGGTGTGAGGCAATGCCGATAATATCTGTTGACTGCTTGCCAAGAGCGGCCCTGTTCTCCTTGTGGAACTCGGACTGATGGGTGTGGATCTCATTGACTGCAATGGACTGCGCCACGATAGCGTAAACTCCGATGGTAGCTGTCTGAGCAGTCACCTTGGCCAGAATCTGCGCAATATCTTTCTCCCTGAGCGCAGGCTTCATCTTTTTCCACATGCGCCTCAGCATCCCATCCTCATCTGAGATGCACAGCTTCTCAACCTCGATCTTGATCTGCTTGAGGTTGTCGCGGCACTTTTGGATGATGGCAGCGTCTTTCTGCGGTACCAGGGAAGGGTCGGCCTCTAGGTAGCCCAACTGGGTGACGAGATGGCCAAGTGCGGATTTTAGGTCGCGGATCCTTTGCGGGCCGTCCTTGATTGCCGAGACGAGGTCGTAGGCGAGCTTGGCGGACTGCAGCCCGGCCGTGAGGAATGCGAGGATCGATGCGCCGGCGTCCATTGTGTTGGACTTGTTAGTGGTGGTTCGTGGATTCAGGGGTTTGTCGTGGACTCGGCGAAGAGCTTGGTGGTGGGAATTTTGGGATAGCAGACAGTCAAGGGAAATGGGAAAGGGGAAGATCAAGAGCGACTTGGAGGGGTTCTCAGGGCCTTACCATTTCTTAGTCTTCATGTGCCGACCTTTGGGCGGTGGCAGTGCCCGAGGCAGACAGTGGTGCGAACCAATGGCGTGCCCGAAGCGACATGGCAGGAAACGAATGGCTGCAAGGCGTCCACGCCATCGGCATCTCTGCAGCCATAGAGGCTTTTCTGATGCAGGTTGGGCTTGGCATGGAGGATAGGTAGCTGGCTAGTGAGGAGGGGGGAAGGTCGGCTGGGGCAAGTAAGGGTGCCTTTTCGGCGTGGGCTCTGCTAAATTGACCTGGATTGGACCAGAAGTTTTCAATTCGCTAAAACATAGCTGAAAATAAAACCCACATACCTTGCTATGGTCTTGTTTGTTTGATCTGTCCAAGCTCGGCCAGATGTGCCCTTCCAGACCGCCCAGAACACCCCCCTAGCTGTAAGTGAGCGATATGCAGCTTTCAGCACTTCAACTCTAGCTGCTGACATGCACAGCAGCCACTCCAGCGTTCTTCCCCTCCTCAGCCGGGAGCCCGCATGTACCCTGCAATATGGGCATCCCAATATGGCCTAGAGCTCTTCCATCTTATGCGGCTTGCAGCCCGATCCCTCAGCCCCTCTGCTGCCCATCAGCCAGAGACGCCCACACGCGCCCATTGTGTGGTCGCCCCCAGTAGGCGGGCGGTATATGTTAGCCCATCTCCCCACTGGCAATGGTTAGGCCGATGTTGTGATCTGGTATCAACCGCTCCGAAACTGCAGACTCGACGCGAAAGTATGGCGTACCCGGCTGACTTCCTCAACCGCAGATCCTCGGCCTTTTCGCTGTGGACGCCGGGGCGCGACTTCGGCACCAAACCTCCCCAGCTCGTGCTCGGAAGATACGATGCAAGCGCCCCCGGATCCTTCGTCGAGGTCGCGCACCGGCCGCTCGCGCCCGCCGCCGACGGTAAGAAGGACCTGTGGGAGCTGAGCCCCCGCTCGCTGTCGCTGGCCGAGGACACCGTGTACCACTACTGGTTTGAGCTGGACGACACCTCGCCGGAGCGCCGGGGCAGGATGCTGGTGACGGACCCCTTCGCCTTCACCGTCGACTACCGCCTGAAGCGCGGCGTCGTGGCCGGCGCCGACGCCTACCCGACCCAGCCCGCGTCCGTGATCAAGCACCGCGCCGGCGCCCTGCACGCCTGCGACGTCGACGGCGACGAGCCGGGCCGCGTCCGCACGCCGCCTCAAGCCTCCTTGCCCGCCAACAACCACCTCGTCATCTACGAGCTCCCCGTGACGTGGGCGCGCGCCGGCGTCGAGGGCGGCGTCGAGGTCGACAAGGGCACCTTTGCCGACGTGCGCGCCCTCTTCGCACCCGACGCCGAGCCGGTCGACCACGCCGGCAGGCCCGGCTTCGCCGCCTCCATCCCCGCGCTGGGCCGCGGGCGCGCGCTGCTCGCGGAGCTGGGCGTCAACGCGCTCGAGCTGCTCCCGGCCGCCGACGCGGCGCCGCGCGGCGAGTGGGGGTACGCGACGGCCAACTACCTCGCGCCCGACGCCGACATGGGCAGCGCCTCGGACCTGGCGGCCCTGGTCGAGACGGTGCACGGGCGCGGGGTGCGCCTGTTCACCGACGTGGTCATGGCCTTTGGCCACGACCCCTACCAGCACGTCGACTTCCCCAAGTTCCACCTCCGCGCCGAAACCGAGACGCACAACCCGGACGCGTACCAGTCCAACGCCGTGGGCCAGAAGCGCGAGGGCTGGGGTGGCCAGCTGTGGCGCTACCTGGCCGAGGCGCAGGACACCTACAACCCGCAGACGGGCGATGGCGGGCTCGATCCCACCAGGGGGGCCCTGCGCCCGGCCTGGGAGTTCCACAAGCTGGCTCTGGCGCGCTGGATGACCGATTTTGGCGTCTGCAGCCTGCGCCTCGACAGCGTCAACAACATCGGAAACTGGGACTTTGTGCGCGCCTACAAGGAACGCGCCTGGCAGCTCTACCGGGACCGCTACGGCAGCGGCGCGCGGGACGACGGCTTCCTCGTCATCGGCGAGGAGCTCAGCATGCCCCTCGACATGGTGCGGTCGGGCGTGCTGGACGCGCTGTGGAACGAGCCGTGGCAGGAGCGCGCGCGCTCCCTGCTGCTCGGCGAGGCGGGCGCGCACGACGGCGGCAGCTTCGAGGCGACGGTGCGGCGCGTCGTCGACTGCACCTCGACGGGCTTCTCCGACGGCTCCCAGGCCGTCAACTACCTGACCAGCCACGACGTCGAGGGCTACCGCAAGGAGCGCCTGTTCGACTTCCTCACCTCCTCGGGCGTCTGGGACGTCGGCGGCCGCGCCAAGCTGGCATTCGTTCTGCTGTTGACTAGTGTCGGCGTGCCCATGATATTCGCGGGCGAGGAGTTCGCCGACCAGATGGACCGCAGCCGCGGCGACATGCGCTACAAGCAGACGGACCCCGTCAACTACGAGCGCGTCGACGGGGCCGCCTGGCGCCGCGACCTGTTCGCATACGTGGCCCGACTGGTGAGGTTCCGCACCGAGTGTCCGGCCCTGGGCGTCGACGACACGGACTTTATCCACGTCGACCGGAGCCGCGGCGGCAAGGTGCTGGCCTGGACGCGCGGAGGGGTCCGGGCCGGCCAGGCGCCCGTGGTGGTGGTGGCTAACTTTACCGACAACGCCACGCCGGGGGCCGAGTACGTCGTTCCCAACTGGCCTGGGCGGGGCGCGCCGGGCTGGAGAGAGGTCACGCAGTCGCGGGATGTTCCCGGCGAGTGGGTGGGGAGAGAGCCGCTGATGGCATGGGAAGCAAAGGTCTATACGCGGTGGAAGTAACGGCGTGATTCAAGGCATAGCCTGGACGACCTTAGGGCACTGTGCTGGTATAGCATGGGTCAAAAGAGGAAGACACGAGAGCATACCAGTGCACTGCCACCTAGCTGGCAAGGATTCTCCCTCAATGGGACAAGGAACGGAAGAAATCGAGTGAGGGACATCGACGTGTCTAGGAGACACAAACAAAAAGAACGTAGAGCCAGGAGAAAAGTATTTACATCCCACCATTAGTAGCTTGCCCATGACGACACATTCCCGTGAGACAGGAAGGCATCAAACACCCGGCTCGGGCTGTATGTATGTGAGATGATACCTGTTTGTGTACAACACAGGTTCAGGGGCATGGCCAAACGGGCAGGAACATTGCGGTCAAGGAGAGACAGTTGAACGGATTTAAGAAACCACCTGATTGATTAATCTATGCAGATAGGCAGAGTATGGTGTCATAAAGCAGTAGATCCCGGTCCAGGATCTACGAGATCAAACCGGTCCCAGCGACCCTGTACTATTTAGAGACCTTAGGCCGGCTTCTCCGTGGCCAGTCAGTGCTCGGTAGAGTAGCTACCTAGCCCTAGTATATAAAGCCTGAACGTCTCCCACCCCCACTGCTTTCCTTCGGCCCAGGAAGTAGAGATGTATCAAGTATCCCGTCTACTGCATGCTCTGCTTTCTTGCAACAGCTGGTGTCGACCAGTACTGCCAGGCGTCCCCAGGCCACTCTCAACGCGAGTATCAACGTGGGATCGAGCGGAAATTGTCGACATAGCACCGAGGGTCCGACGGTTGTTTCTAGGCGCAGCTTCTTCAGTGTCCAGGTGTGGAAGACAGACTAGATCTTCTCGGCCCTGGCCTCTGTCCGCTCCGGCAATATGCGCTTGTACACGCCCACCGTCGTGTAGTCCTTGCGAGGCCCCTTGACCTCGACGTCGAGGGTCCAGTCGTCCATCTTGACCGCATTGAACCGGAAGCCGTAGCGGCTAGTGTAGTAGTCCTGCTCGCACAGGTGGCCGCCGCTGGCCTCGCACACGGCCGCCTTGCCGGAGGCGCCGTGTGTCTGCCGCTCCTGCTCGCCGCTGTTGCCGAGCGCCGGCGGCACAGGGAAGTCGAGTTGATGGAACAGCTTCTCGGCCCGCGTATTGTCGTCAGGTAGCACGAACCAGACACTAATTTTGTCCCTGGCCTCGTCGTACCGCCAGATATACCGTCGCGTAGTCTGAAACTCGAACCCGGTCGCTAGCGTGAAGCTGCCCTCCTCAATGAGGAGGTACTCGAAGCCAAGGTCTATATCCGTTGGGGGCGTCGTCCTGTCCAGGGAGCGCCCATCAACTGTGCCGTCTCTCAGATGGAAGGCCGCCTTGCCCCGGAAGTGACCGTTCTGGTCCGTGTACTTAGGGCTGGAGTGCGTTCTCTCGACCTGCCACTCACCGTGGAGGGAGCGGAAGACGGCATGGGCCAGGAACCTGCGCTGCGTCAGGCCGCCAACGATGGTGTCCTGGGTCTGGCGGAGGGCCTCCTGCGCCTCGGCGATCTGCTCCGCGGTTGCGTCTGGGGAGATGTACCGGGCCGGGGTGAGGACGTCTATGGGCAAGTTGGTGGGTGGTGTGGGCGGCATTGGCCTGTTAGCAGTCGGCCGGGAGATTTGGATGTTCAAGGCTTTGGCGAACTGGTCCATCAGCCAGGCGTAATCGCCCATGGGAAACTGCGTGATGCGGGGGTCCTTTCGCAAGGCGGTCGTGTGGGCGAGCGACGTGTCGTCGGCAAGAGCAGACTGGAGATGATCCGGAAGGGACTCTCCGAAGAGCGAGCTGGAGAACATGGAGGCCAGAAAGCGAGCCTGCATCTCCATGACACCCCAGTAGGGCGAGCGATAGAAGCCCACGAACCCCAGACCAGGGGTTCCGGGGTGGAGGGTGGAGTGGAAGCCCAGGGAAAGCATATGACCACGGTTCTTGGACAAGGCCGCCGGATCCTGGTACCCTAGCCGGGCCTTTAGTTCCTCCGTAAGGAACGACAGTGACACACTGGCACTGAAGCCCGTGGCCAAAACAATCGCAATAACATCCTTGAGAGCGTCGCCTAATCTTTCCTCGTTGTATTCCGAAGCGGCAATCGTGCCCTCTTTGCCAGAGTAGCTCGTCACTCTTGCGCGGATGGGGTGAATTTGGCCAAGACGCACAAACTCGCTGTAGTGCTCGCTCATGGCCAGCAGAGGGGGTTGATCGAACAAGTTTTTCTTTCTCATTCCCAGCACGCTTCCAAAGTCGTCCTGGGCCCCTCCCAAAGATGTGCAAAAGATCTGGTTGAGCTCCTGAGCCCGCTCGACAGTCAGCGAGCCTTGGGTGTTGCGCAGGGGCAAGGGACGATTAGCGAGGTTGTATGATGGAAGGTCGCAGGGAAGAAAGGGCGGAATCGCCTCCGAGGGCTGCGTAAGAAAGAATTAGCGCTTGGCCGAAGAAAACAACAATTTGGAAGGTTCCCTCATAACTTACCGCAGGCGTTGTGAATAGGGGGAAGATCCAGGAAGGTTGCTCGGCGATGTGGATGACACTGCATCTGCTTGCGTTGGGGATTGCGCGTTCCTTGGGAGAGAACACTGCCGAGGACAGGTTGGTGGCGATCAATGCAGCAATTTCTATGCCAGACATCTGGGCGCCGACAACGAGAATCTTCGGGTTTGGTGCAGGCTCGGCCTTGATCTTGGCGTCGAGAAGTGTGTTGTCGAGCCCTGCCCCGAACAGGCTGCTTAAATCCCGGTACTCTGTGCTCGTGATGACGGGGACTCCGGCTGACTTGAACATGGTGGGCACGAGTGGCTTCCCGAAGTAGCCGGAGCCAACAATGACGCAGTCAAACACATTATTTTCTGTCTTGTTATCGCCGGTGCGAGTAGTGACAGCCCACTGGCCTGGAAGACCAGCAGGCTTGACGGGGGCAGTCTCCTCGACTCTTTGGTTCAGTTTGAGTTCGGCACCGCTACAGTAGCGCTCGTAATATCTCTTGAGATACTGGCCAACCTGCCAGGCATAGGGGAACTCGGGTATCTCGAGACCCCATGCGAGATCGCTAAACTGGACTGTGTGCTTGCTTTGGTTGACTCGCATCAGGGGGTGAATGTCACCACCCGTGTCATCTTTGCTGACGGGCCAAAGACCCCCAATCCTGCCCTTGCTCTCGTAGATGGTGACCTTGAACTTCGGGGCTCCAAGCTGGCCTGGCGGCGCAGGAAATCGCTGTTCAAGAAGGTACTTGGCGGCGATGAGCCCTGCCGGACCAGCACCTGTCGGGACGAAGACGTGTCAGCGGAGACTTGCATGTCGGCTACGCTGCCGTATAAAAATGTGAGCTTACCTACAATGCACGCCGCCTTGGGAGGGGGCATGTTGGGCGTCTTGGTGCTGGAGCCTTGACTCCTTAGGGGACGACGACAGAAGAATTGTGACCCCTGATCAACGGGGAAGCCGTGGTTTGGTCACCCTGCACCACAAATCTGGGGCTGGCGCTCTACAGCGCAATATGGGTGACTGGGTTGCCGGGGGTTCGTAGCTCAGGTGGGCGACTAGGTATGCCAGGCGGCAGGCTCCTTCGATGACGAGACAAGTGCCGCGGGACAGTTGGGCAGGCCGTGTTTCGGAGAGAGGGCGACCCCCCGAGCAAGAGCAGAACGTCTTGGAAGCTATGAGGTGGGATAAGAATAGAAAGTAATCGTTACGACCAGCCGAGCGGCTCATGAGCGGGCGAAGGAAATGGCGCGGCACCCAAAGAATCTCAGGTCAGGGGCAAGATGGGGTGGTTCAAGTTCCTTGGCGCGACGCGATGGCGGGGAAAGCCCTGCGATTATGGCGCAAAAAAAGGCTGACAGGTGCAAAGTGGGGCAGCGGGATTTGACGACTGCTGCACGGGCGCTGACTGACGCCCAAAGCAGCGGGGGTTAGGGCTGCACGACAGCGCAGGAGATTGGCCTCCAGCTGTCAGGTACCAACCTCGGGAGCCCGATCAGCACGAGACGGTCATGTGGGGAAACAACAACTAGAGCAGCATATTCACCTCTCTAGAGCTAGCTGAGACATCGAGGAGGGAAGGACAGGAACATTCATCTGGAGAGCTCGGTAAGTAAATCCCCGTGCAGGCTGCCGATGGATAAAGTGCTTTCTTCCTAATGTGGCCAAGCTACCACCGCATACAAAGCGGTTTTTCTCGAGCACAAGAGGAAGAATAGCAGAGACAAGAAGACGTAAGAATCCAACGGAGCGCCGTATAGCTATACTTTCCATTGCTCGAAATTTCTTCCAACCTTGTCGCAAACCTTGACACAAGCTGGCAGGCCGTAAAGGGCTTGTTTAGCGTATTCGATAAACCCATTTTTCCACCCATTGGCTTCGTGCATTGCTTCCGGCGGGAGGGAAGCAATGCCGGCGTCGATAAATCTGGCTAACGCAATGCAGATTAGAGCCGTTTGTTGTTGCTTGCGGCTGTAGCTCGCAATGATTTCTTCCGCAGCCGCCGCGGCCGACCCAAGGGGCGGGCGCGTAGGCCGGGTTTGGGAGGGGTGCGATGGGGGGGAAAAGGGAAGGGAAAGGGGCACTTGTGCCGGTGCCGCCGTCGTATGCGTCTTCCTGGCCCTGGCTGGGCCTTAGCGGGAGTTGCGAGTTTCGCAACGGAGAAGGCGTGATCGGATGCGCTGGCGCGCGGGGGGGCCGGTACAGCAGCGACGCGTTCCTCCGAGCCGGCTGGCCGGCGAGGAGGGCGCGCGCTATCCCATTGGCCGAAGGGGGGGGGCTATTGGCAACGGCATGCTGCCGTCGCCAGCACACGCCCTTATTGCCTGATAAGGGCGGTGCACGGGCCCTGCACAGATATCTTTGTGCAGGCAGGGCCCTCCACCTGCGGCGGGACCTAACCTCCCGACACATTATCGATACCAGACCACTTCAGAGATCCCCTCATTGGCTCTCACACAAAGGACCGCTGGTCGCAGTGTCAGCCAATATGTTGCAATAAAGGGCCGGTAGGCAAACGTTCCTAATTTCGTGCGGCTGCTGGGAAAGCACTTGCAGCGTGTTAAAAAGCTGTTTGTGGCACTTAGAAAGTAATATCTGGCCGAAATAAAAACTCCGGTACCGCTCTAGCCCTAGGAGAACAGAGGTGAAATGGCGTCGTTTAAGGAAACTTGCACCTTCAAAGGAGTGTCCAGGACAGTTCACCGCACGCTGCAGGCATCCACATGAGTACGCGCCGCAGAGTAGCCCGTGCAGCAGGACGCCGCACCACCTTTTCTCCGCGCCTCTCTTCCTTCTTCCTCCCTGTAGGAGAGTCTTCGTCCATAGCATCAATTGAGCCTGGCTGCGAAGCCTACTCTTCACGATTGTGACACACGCGACCCGGATTCCAAACCCCGCTAGGCTGGCCATCCAAAATCTTACTTGGGGATGCCGCCCTTACGGCTCTTCCTGTCCTTGGCGGGGCCGGGCGGGTTCTTGCGCTGCTGCTGGCCGTTGAAATCGAGGGTCAGGAGCAGGTCGCCCTGGCCGTTGAAGACGGGGTTCTTGAGGAAGAGGTGACCGCCGCCCGGCAGGACAAAGACCTGGGGGCCCGAAAGCCTGTCGTTGATCTGCTTAACAGCGGCGGCTAGGCGCTGCTCGTCCTTGAGTGACTTGGCGATGGCGTTGGCGACGCCGGCGACATAGTTCTGCCCGAGCCAGGTGCCCTTGCGGTCCAGTATTTCCACCTTCACGTCGAGGTCCTTGGGAATCTCCATCCCGAGGCGCCCCTCGAGGACGTCACGGAGGGTAAGCTCCGTGATACAGCTGCGTTTGACCGTGGCCCTGTTGAAAAGGATAGATATTTATGCATTAGCCTAACGTTTTAAAAGGGGAGAAAAAGGAAAAGGGGAGGAAAGAAATGGAAAGAACGCACGAGCTTTTATCGGTCCATACCCACCGGTGGGAGGTGAAAAGGTGGTGGCTCATAGTGTGGACTAAAACCACTTTGTTGGACCCCCGCGGCACGTATAAAATGTTGCTCATTGTCACATCGTGGGTTGCGGTAAATCTGCCGGCCCCGTTGACCTGCTTGCTGGTTGATTGATGGCTGGAAGTGCTCCAGGTCCAGCCAATGCCGTTCCCGTAAATAATCCGGAGGGCTGCCATCTGAATCAGCGATGCTGGCTTCCATTCGAAAAAGGACTCGGGATGGGCGGCCGAGCCCCATCTGAAGGTGAAGCTCCACTTTGTGCCGCCCTTGTGGGTTACCGTGGGGGCCAGCGACTCAAGGTGAGTGGCTCGGTTGAAGGCGACGAGCTTGGGCACAACAAAGTCGTCCAGGAAAAGTTCGTTCGAAATGGCCATGGAGCCAAGCGTGCCATCGGCGCCGCTAAGGTCCGGGTGGCACCAGTTGCCGGTCCAAGGCAGAGCAGGATCGGAGGGAAAAGCTTGGAGATCGGTTTTATAAAGCATTTGGAACATGTTGCTCTCCCCATGCTTATCCGTCGACGTGGTCGGCTTGGTCGTGGCGGCGCTGAGGAAAGGATAGTTTTGCAGCTGCAGCGACGTCGGCGGGAAAGTGCCCAGGTGCTTTTCGGAAGCGGTCGTGGCTACCACGGCGTAACCGAGGATGTGGTGGTCGTTATCCCGGGCGTAGTGCCTCCAGGCCGTTTGCAGCTTTTCGAAACTTTCCTGGAACTCCTCGGGAACGTTGGGGACGATAGTGTGTGCTTTGTCGGAGCTGACCAAGGCATTCTCCAGGTCGAAGAAGATTTTGCTGATCTTGTAGTGGCTGTCGGCGGCGCTGGCCGGAATCTCGAGGTTTTCTTTGACCTCGTCCCACTCCTCTGATCCCGCAACAAGGAAGGACCGGGTGACAGGGGCAGCCCATCCCCAGCGCCAGCCGGCAGTGTCGAACTGGCTCGATTTCCTGTTTGCATGGGGGCGATAGCCCAATCAGCACGAGGGTCTCTCCCAGGCAAGCAGGCGCGCGGACACTTACCCCGTGACGGAGCTCCTTAAGGTGCAGGTGTGCGGGCCAAGGACGCTCGCCCCGCCCGAGAAGCGGGTGAGAAAGAAACCACGCTGGCCACCGGGAAGGGGAGGCTGTTGCGACTCGACATCGATCACGAACATGGACGGATCGAGCGCGGCCGATATCTCGTAGCCGGCATCGCTATCGGAGAGCGTCAGGTCCCAGCGGGTAAAGTCAAACCCGTAGGCGACCGCAAGGCCCTTGTTCATGAGCCACTGCGACCAGGTCGTGATCTAGAGTTTGTGGTCGCCGGTCCGGTTACCATGCTGTTATTGTACGGAGCTCTTTGGGAAGGGAACGAGAGAAAGAAGGAGGAGGGGGTGGGCATAGCTACCATGTCGAACCTCCCGCCGTTCTTGGAAGCCATGGACGTCGAGTAGCGGTCGTCGTTGGCGGCGATCTTGGCAGTGGGGCTGGGCATGGGAATGGGGTTCAAGGAGATGGCCGCGGCAAACGCCTCACCATCGTCGCCCTCTTGCTCCTCGTCGCCGAGGGCAGGCACCGGGTCAAAGACGCGGTCAACACGACTGCCGGAGTCCTTGCCGCCGCCAGCCCGGCGAGAAACCAAAGCTTTATCCCCGAGGTGCTCAAGGATGTACTGCTTGGTTTCAGGGGCTGCTTTGACGAGGTCGGCGGCAATGTCCTGGTCATAGAAGGAGGCCTCGCTGAGGTACTTGGCAAGCTGGATGGACTCAAGGTTCAGGGACAAGGAGACCTTGCTGGACATGCTGCCATCCTTTTCCACTTGGGGCGCGGAGCCCACGGCGGTGAAAAGATCATAGGACATGGCGAATGGTGGAAAGGGTGTGGTTTGGGGATCCGGTGTGAGAATAATTTGAGATTTTAAGTGTGGCAGGGTTTGAATGCTGAACTTGGGGGGTGAGAATGCTGTTGTCGAGGTTGTTATCTCGAGGGAATCCGATTCGGATGCTGTCGAGGGTTTATATGCTCGGCTGTCAGTCTTATAGCTGGCGACGTGAATGCAGCACCGGCGGTGTCTTCGTCCTGCCAAAAGTTTTTTCGGCAAAGGATTTTGCTGTAACCTTACAATAACGACGGACCCTAAACTAAAATCTTCGGCTCTTTGGTTTTCGTTACGGCTGATACTGTATGTCGTCAGCAAACCTCAGCCCTATAAACCCCGAAACTTGGCAAAGGTTCCAATGGTAACGGGAACGTCAACTTCTGTAAGATTTTAATTGCTTGGCTCCCGTTACCGCCGAAAAGGGGAATCGAATGCGGGGTTTCAGCTGTCAGCAAGTCCCTCCCAATACCAAGGACCCTAATTGCTTGGCTCCTGTTACCGCCGAAAAGGGGAATCGAATGCGGGGTTTCGGCTGTTAGCAAATGTTACAAGGGGATCTGGGATCGGCTTGGGGAGTGCCCAATATATTGATAATTTTTCAAGGCCTTTAAGAAATGCTTAAGGAAGTAAAATTTCCGGCGAGGACTTTAAAAGATAAGCCCTTTTTATATAAGCTGTTTGGGCGCATAGGAAAAATACGTACTTGGGTCGAAAGGAACAAACTCCCTTTCGACCGGGCGCGTAATGCATGCGGGGTTTTTGTAACCCTTCCAGCCGGCCTAACCAACGCTTAGCTTTTTATCGTTATTTTATAATTCGTTTTATTGGCCGTCCGTTCGGCCTTTTTGGGTTATTGGTTTAATCCCCGTATAATACAATCCCCCTTTTTTTAAAAGTACATTTCGGGCTTTAAATACGGGTATCCCGGGCTTTCCGGGGATGCCGGCGGTAAAAATCCTTAACCTTTTCCTTTACCGCTTTGTTTTTAAAGTTTTTCCATGGCTTTTATATTATTTTATCCTTTTTATTAAAATTTAGCCATTTAACGAAATATTGTATTAAGTTATTTTTTTAACGGGAATTTTTAACCTTTTCCATTTTAAATACGTTTAGTAAAGGTAATACGTTTTTTAAAATTTATTTTGGGTTGGGCCGTATTTAAATGCCGGCCCGATACGGTTCGATTAAAAAAGCGTAAAAAGTAAAGTAAATTTTCCATAATAATAAAAGCGCAAATCGAACGGTTAAAAAAAAAATAATTTTGGTAATTTAAAAAAGGCCGAAAAGTTTGGAATTAAACTTTTTAATAAAGCGCCGGGTTTTAATGTTTTTAACGTTTAATATAACGTATTGTTTTTTCGTAAAAACGGGCAAAGCTTGTTGTTTTTTATCCGCCCATTTTTTTATTCGTTTTTAAGCGGCGTTAAAATGTTATTTGGTTTTATTGTAAATGCCGTGCATTTAATGGAAATAAAATTTGTTAACGGGATAAGGTTTTGTACGTTTTGGCCTTAAAAAATTATATGCAATTGGTTCGAATTTATAATTAACAAAAAATAAAAAAATTAAAATATTTATTAACGAAATATTGTTATAAGCAAATTTTGCTATTGGCAACAAATTTACCCAATTGGACATTTTATAATTAATAAAAAACCGTAAATAAGCTTTAAAGCTTTGGTTAAATTATTCCGTTTATTTGTTTATTTGCGGGTAAAAAGCAATGTTTATCCGGGGTTTAATCCTTACAAAGCTAAAAAAATTTTGTTATAAGTGCGCGGTAAACCGTAAGTTTCGGTTTAAAATAATATTTAACGGAATTTTATGGAATTTCCAATATTTTCGGGCGAAAATGCGGATAAGGTTATTCGTTTTTTTTTGTCCTTTTTTTAAAAGGACGAAATGGTTTATTTTGGTAAACGGGTTTATTATAACCCAAATGGAATCGTAGTTTTGGTTATCGGGTAAATCGGTAATAAAATTTATAGCAACAATGTTTTAAAAGCGGTAATGCAATTTTATAAGCTAAAACAATTTAAAGGGAGCGTATTTGGGCGCTTTGTTGCGTTAGTATTCCAAATAGCTTTTTACGTAATTTCGAACGTCCTTTTTAATGCTAAGTTATTAAAAGTAACGGGTAATTAATTCGAAGGTTTTATTTATGCTTATATATCCGGCAATTTTAATGTTGTATTTGGATTTTAGGATTTTGCGTTTAAGTTTTAATTGTGCTGGAATTTATAGCTTATTGCGGTGGTACAAAAGCCCGTTGCTAATTTTTTCCTTTTTATAGGGAATTTTTAGGTGCTTTTAGTATTTGGTATTAAATGTAACGGTTTGTTTAATCCTATTTGTAAATGTTTAATTTTAGCGTATGGTTGGGATGCTGCATAATTTTGCCGAAATTAAAAAAAATAAAAGTGCTTGTAAAAAAAGGTTAAAATGTTTTTTTTAAAAAACCGTTGTAATTGGTTGGTTTTTATTCCCTTTTTTTTTAAGCTTGTATTGTTCGAATTTGGAAAGCACGTTGGCCTTTTCGTTTTGCTTGCTTGGGCGGTATATAATTAAAAACCAATAGCTTAAAAGTTATTGGGCCCATTTTGTTTGTTTTCGGTTAAAAATTTTAGCCGTAATAAAATAAACCAGATTTTGGTAATTCGTAAAAATTTTAATTTTGTGCTATGCCCTTTTAAAATAATACTTCCATTTGCTAAAACTATTTACAATAGCAAGTAATTTTTTATCGTAAATTTCGTAATTAATTTTTGTTGGTGTTATTTTACGGGAATAAAAGGCTATAAGGTAAAGCTTGCCGTTAATAAGGTTGCGTTAAAATAATATTGCGGTTAAAGCAAAATTGAAAGCATCGGTTTTTATAATTATTTGTAGCGTAAAGTTAAAATGCCGCAGGATAAGTAGCAAAGTAAATGCTTGTTTTAAAGCTTCGAAAGCGGTTTGCATTTTTGCTATCCATGTCCAATTTTTTTTTAAAAAGGCATTGGTTGTTGTTAAAGGTTTAACGATTTTGGAAAATTTTGCAATAAAGCGTCGGTAAAAATTGGCGAACCCAACCAGCGATTAACATTCTTTTAATTATTTAGGTGCTTTTTAATTAAAGATCGCGTCCATTTTGTTTTGAAATATCCGAATTCCTTTCGGGCCGATAACGTGTTCCAAAAATTTGATTTTTTGGGTTCCCCAAACGCATTTGCAGGGGTTAACGGCAAGGTTGTATTTGGTTAAACGCTTTAGTACTTTTTTAATAAAGTCGTTATGCTTTTTTTTTGTTTTTGCGTAAATAAAAAGGTCGTTAAAATAAACCAAAAGGCCGGCGTTAATAAAGTTTAGGAATATGTGGTTTATTATTTGTTAAAAGGTAGCTAGTGCGTTAATAAGGCTTATAGGCATAACGGTAAATTTAAAAAGGCTATATTTGCAACGAAACGCCGTTTTTTATTCGTACTTTAGTTTTATTCGGATTAAGTAAAAGCCGGTTTTAAAATTAATTTTGGTTATTTACCGGGCGTTGCGAAAGCGGTTTTAAAACTTTGTTATTAACGGGATCGGGCATCGTTCCGAAATTGTTTTGCCGTTAATATCGCGGTAATCGATAATTGGGCGTAACGGATTTTTTAAGTTTTTTTTTCGGTAAATATTAAAAGTATTCCAACCGTTCCTTTTTTTTTGTACATCCGTTTTACTTTAAAATTTTTAATAAACCAAAATTTTAAAACGCTAAATTTTTTTTCGTTAAAATTATATATAAATTTTTAATTAAAAATAGCTTTTTTTTTAAATATATTTTGTAATTTTAAAGCTAATGGTTTAATAAGCGCATGGTTGTTTTTGGGAATATAATTAAAAAAAATTTGCGGAACTTTTTTAAAATATTATCGAATTCGTTGGTATTGTTAAGCAAAAGTTTTATCGACGTTAATTTTTTAATTAAAACGACGGTAGCTAGGTTTGTATTGCAAATGTTTGCCGGGTCGCAAAAGTTAAAAATTTTACGGAACCGAAGCTTGCGGTACGATTTGCATTCGTTTATATTAAAACGAATATTTTTATAATTCCGTTTAAAAATTTTAGTAAAGTAATAGCGGGTTATCCATTAAACGGGCAACAAAACGTTGCAATTCGGATTTAGGTTTAATACGTTAAAATTTACGCGAAAGCGGTGGTTATAATGCCGCAAAATAACCCGGGGTATGTAATAAATTAACGGGTCCTTTTTTTGTTTTATATAATTGGATATAGGTTTCGAAACCGTTCGTTTAATAATATATGGCTATAATTTAGCGGTTATTTAAGTAAAAATAAAAAACCCGTTATCGCTACCGCAATTTAAAAAAACTTTAACCGTAATTTTTTTTATTTTTTAATTTGCAAAGCCATATTTAATATGGGTTTCGTAATTACCCGGGTTAAACCCGTTACTTAGGCTTGCAAAAAAGGCGCAAATAACGGTTTGGGTAACGTTATTGCTTTCCCAAAACCTTTTAGGTAGCGTTATCGAAACCTTTAAATTTTAGCAATTAAAGTCCGTATCGATTTTTTCGAAATATTGGTTATAATTTGGTTTAAAAGCGTATTTAGCCATTTTAACTATTTTAACCTTTTTATTAAAACGTTTTTTGGTTTTTTTTTTACCGGCGGGGGTTCGATAACGGGCTTTTTGGCATCGGCGGCCGTTTTCGCGGGTAATGGGGAAAGTTCGGTACCCGCGGTATTTTTTTTAGCAAAGCATTTCCAAATGTAATGGTTATTTCGCCCGCATCGCTAGCAATTAATACCGTTTTTTTTTCGGGCATTAATGTTTTTTTGGTTAACGCTATCGAAAGCGCTTTGGGTAATGGTCCAAATATTATTTTTGCGAATTTGGCCGGGGCTCGTTCCTTTGTTTGCCGCGGTACGGGAATTTAAAAATAAGCCGGGGGTTTTTTTAAAGCTTTTATTGCGGGGACGGCCCGCGTTCGAGCGCTTCGAAGTTAAAACGGGTTTGCTTTTTTCCTTTTTTTTGGGCCTTTGGTTTTTATAATGCTTTTGGAATGTGCTTTTATTTGCCGCTATAAGTTCGTATGTAATGCCGGTTTTTTAAAAAAATTCCAAAAAATTTTTCGTTTACGTTAAGGATGCGCCTTTTATTAGCGTAAACGAACCGGTTTATTTCGTTAAAAAAAAAATTTTTAATAAAATTTTTAAAACGGGTACCGGTTAGTTTAATTATTGCATTAAGCTAGGTTAATTTTATAAAAAACCCAACGATATCGTTTTTATATTTAAAGTTATCCAATTTAATAAAATCCGTGCGTTTTTCGTTAAAATTGTAAAACGTATTGGCTAAAAACCCAAAATAAGCGTTTTAAATATTAAAAAATCCGTAATTTTTTAACATCCGTGCTTTCTTTACGTAAACGCGTAAAACGGCTTTTTTAAAATGGGAATTTACCTAAAAAATTTTATGGTCGTTATTTGTAAAGGTTTGGGGAACGGCGCTTATAAAAGCCCGTACCAAATATTACCAATTTTTAAATTCCGTTTTTTTTCCGTCGAAAACGGGGGGTAATTTAAATAAAACGGAATTAATTATAAAAATTGCTCCGTACCGGCGAAAAGGGTTTTTATTTGCTAAGGATAAGCCCGTTCGTAAGCGGGGCGGAGGCCCCGGGGGCTAACCGTATCCATTCCCATTTAAGTTAAAAAATAAAGGGTTATTTTTTGGTAATATAAAAGGTTATTGTAACGATATTCCTTTTGGGGGAATTTTATTAATTATACCGAACATTTGGAAATAAAAACTTTTTCGGGCTTATCGATATATAGCGGCTATAAATCCGGCAAAGTTTTTTTGCATTATTTAACGGTACATCGAATTGGATTGCTTTAAAACGAATAAGGCTATGCTAAATGCTAAATTGTTTTTGGTTCGCGTAAAGTTAATTTGGAACGCGGATAACCGGATAACCGGGGTTTGGGCGAAAAAGACCGGAATTGGAAAAGCGCTAATAACAACGGGGGTAATTTGGCAAAAGGTTTAACGGAAAACGATTTATAACAATACGGCCATTATATCCATTTATTTGCTTTTGGTTAATTGCCGGTTAATTTCGGCAATAATGTTTTTGGCAAACGTTTATTATTGCTTTAAAGTAATTAAAAGGTAAGCCGTTATAGCTTTTTATTATTTTTTGAAATCGTTTAGCCTTTGTTCGGTATAAACGATTTTGTATTCCGTATGGCCCGCTTATTGTTCGACGGTTTCGATAATGTAAGCAAAGCAACAATGCATATTTTTAATTGCTAATTAATAAATTTCGTAAGCTTTGGTTATTTTATTATAAACGTATTTGCGGGTAATATTATCGCTAACGGATTTAACAATAACATTTTATATTTTAGCGGCAAATAAATTGCTATTTTTAATTATTTTTTTTTTAAAATTCCGGGCTTGTGCTTTGGAAATGGTTACGCCGTTTTGAACGATTTAAAAAACCGTTATGTAATTTTAACGGGTAAAATTATATTGCTAGCGCAATTTTGCTATTTAAAATTAAACAAGCTCGATGGTTTGCAAAAGGTTTTTAATTTTATGCCGAAAAGCTAAAATTGTTTGGTAAAATATTTAAAGGCCGCTATAAATTTTTTCCATTTATTAAGCGTACGTAAAGTTCCCCGAAATACGTGGCTGGTAATTTAGCCTTTGGGTAACGGGCAAAAGTTATTTTCCGCCGTTATTTTGCTAAAATTCGTTAAAAATGGAAATAGTATAAAATATAATAGCTTCCGTATTTAGGTCGAGCATAAAGGTATTTTGTTTTTAACGAACCTTATTGGGGGTTCGTAAATAGGACCGTTTGGGGGCAGCGAATGGTTTTGCCGAACCGTTCCGTTTGGGCTTCGGGTTGTCGTTCCCAATTTTAAAGCTTACGGCGGGCGGTTAAAACGGTATTTGCCCGCAAAGCTCGGCCGCGGGCTTTTTATTGGCTATAATAATATCGAAAAATAATGGTTTAATTAAAAATTACCGGCTTTCGTTGTACAAAAATAAAAATTTTGGTAATGTAATGCGGGAAATTTATTAAAAATAATTTTGGTAAAGTTTTGTAATTACGCCAAAATTGTATTTTAAAGCGGTAATAGCGTTATTTTATTGCTATAATTGCTCGAAATTGCTATTAATTTTTTTGCTAAAATTATTGTAACGCTTTTTAATTTCGTTAAAAAGCGTTGTATTTTTAAAGGTAATTTTTATTGCGTGCGTTAAAAAAAAAAGTTAAATAATTTCCTTTTTTAACAATTTGTATTTCCGCTTTCGTAAAGCAAATTTTTATTTGGTTTTTTCGATGGTTTTTTTATGTTTTTTTCGAAAAGCGGAAATTTGCAATTTGGTAGTTTTGCTTTGGGCTTTAATTTATTAAGTAAAAGCGATAAGGTTTTTCCGTATAATGTTAATTTGCAAAGCGAAATTGTTAAATGCTTGGTTTGCTTTAAATTGCAAACGCTTTTCGATAATATCGATGCGTTTTGCAACGGCGCTTTTGTATGCAATTTGTTTTTCCTTTTTTTTTTTAAAAATTAAGCAATGGCTTTGTATTGTTAATTTGTTTGTATAAAGACGGTACGGGTAAAATTACGAGCGTAATCCAAATTTTTTGTTAAAACGTTAACGCGTGCTGTAAGGTTTTGTTTAAAATCGTTTTATTGTTTTTCGACCCGGGTAAAGCGATTTTTACCGATAAGCTCGAATTTTATCGCAATAAGTAAGGTTATTTGCCGCGGATTAATTGGTTCGGAAAAAACGCGTAGCTTTTTAAAAGCAAAAGCAAATTTGTTGCTTAAAATAATAAACGGGTTAAAAAATTTAGCGGTAAATTTAATAATTATAGCAAGCGGTTGCGGAATAGCCGGTTGCGGGGGCTTGTCGGGGTCCGTTATAACGGCGACCAACGCCGAAATCGGTTTTTAGCGTAATTATTAATCGCGTTTAGCCTTTGTAAAATAATAAATACAAGCTTGCAAGCTTTAAACGGCAAAGCAAGTGCAATACCAACAAAAAAATATAAAGCCGTTTATTTTAGCAAGGTTTTTTTCGTTTTTAAAAGCAAATTTCGGCGAACCGGCTTGGTTATTTGCCCAAATGCGTAAAATTGCGGTAACGCTATTAAAAATTTGCGCAATAAAAAAAGGAATTAAACCTATAAAAATAAATAATAATTAAAAATAATTTAAATTAACGATACCTTTTTTTAACAAAAATATAAATATATTAAAGCAATTTTAAAATAATAAAAAATTATTTGTTACAAAAAAATTTGGAATTGGTTTAAAAAATGCTTAATATATTAATAATTTTTTAAAGCTTTTAAAAAATGCTTAAAAAAGCAAAATTTCCGGCGAAAACTTCGAAAAATAAGCTTTTTTTATATAAGCTATTTGGGCGCATAAGAAAAATACGTACTTGGGTCGAAGGGAACAAACTCCCTTTCGACCGGGCGCGTAATGCATGCGGGGTTTTTGTAACCCTTCCAGCCGGCCCAACCAACGCCCAGCTTCCTATCGTTATCCTGTGACTCGTCCTGTTGGCCGTCCGTTCGGCCTTTTTGGGTCACTGGTTCAATCCCCGTGTGACAGCAAATCCCGCCCCATGCCGAGACGCTGATTTTCCAAAGGGAAACAAGTTTTTATCAACGTCAACGCATAGAATCAAGCGGCACATAAGCAGCCGCGGCTCTTGACTTCAGCTATCCCAAAAGACGAACGCTGATCTTTCAAACCGAAACAGGTTTTTATCAACGCCAGCTCACATAATCAAGCGGCATATAAGCAGCCGCAACTCTTGGCTTCAGCTATCCCCAAAAACCTTGAAGTTGCATGTGATTCCGCAATTGGCGACTTTGGCTTCTGGACGATGGCTTCATGGGGACAGCTTTGCGAGGCGCAGGAGAATGTGGGCACGGCGAGCCCGAGTCCGCCTTGGAGTCCTACAGTGCTGTACCGGCCCGTGGCCTTCCTAAACATCGCCTAGCGGCTCCGCCGTCATTAATATTGAGAGTCGGGCTGGGGTCCTGGCAAGCGAGGGCGAAGGGCGTCCAAAAGACATAAATTCTTCAAAGATCCTGCCTTGTGCCCGAGATACAGTCCTGTTCCTAACTCTGATCATCATCACAACGGCCTCGTCGTCACCAAACAACCTCTGAGCCCATCTGCCCTGCCATTCTCTTTCGCACCTTTGGTGATTTCAACTGTCTTCGTCTTTCCCTTGGAGCCCTTGTCTCCGCGCACTGCAATAATGGCTTCTGTCAAGACGGACTCCGAGCTGATGGACCAGCTCGTGGCTGCTATCCCAGTCCCGCACTCTAGCACCTTCATCACCGTCCTTGACGAGAACGGCGGGCCCATCCTGCTGAGCCTTGGCAACAATGGCGTCCTTTACGCGATTAAGGAGAGCAGCGCCGGCGCCCGCGTCTTGATTGACCTCAATGACTCCTTTGGCATCTCTGACAGGGAGGTCGTGACCTTCGAGGCCGTCCAGAGCGCAATTGACAAGCAGATCTACTACTCCTTCGCTCACAAGGCCGCCAAAGTCGGCGATGAGGCTGACCAAGAAGACGGCAAGGCTGCCAAGCCCAATGATGAGACTACTCTCGTCATCTGTCGCCCGTTTGGCCCGCAGCTTCTCGACACCGAGGCGGCCAGGGTCGATCTCCGCCACCTCATAATCCCCGAGCAGGGCATTTCCCGACGGAGTGTGCATAGGATCTTCATGGTTTGTCCCTTCCCCTTTCCCCCGATGGCACCCTTCACAGCTGCTAACAATGCTTTGCAGAGTGCCAAACACCGACTGCAGTCTTACCCGACCGTCGTTGTCGGCTATGTGCCTCTGGACAGCCTTCATTCATCCCAGGATCTGGCCCGGGTGTCAATGCAGAGCTCGCTGTCCAGTTGGAGTCTCAAAACCGATGTGGAGCTTCCAGAGAACGCCGGGCAGATCCTCGACTTCTGTGCAGCTTCTCTGCCAATCGGCAGCGGATACTTTGTTCTCTACATCATTCAAGGCAAGTGTTTATCGTCTCTCGCGGCATATCCTCTCTCGTTTTCCCTTATACCTGATTCCTGGGCCGCCGGCTAGCAAAACTGCGCCGCGCTTCCTTTCTCCCCATGCCGTTCCCCTTTTACTTTTTGTTAACGAACGGAAAATCATCCGATGCAGGCCGGAGCCAACTGCTTTTCTGCACGGACGCCGACGCTAGGATCCCGTTCAAGGTGGCGCTCGATGCGCCCAAAGGCGCTAGATGTCTCGCAACGGTCCAGCAAAGCAACGGTTTCACAGGCCTTTTGTGCGGCGGCCAGGGACTGTACTTTTGGAGCGAGACCGAAGCTCAAAAGCGGAACAACCCGGGCCACCTCGTTTCGGACGACGCGGCCTTTGCTGGCGTGGATCAGCTGTTCGTGGCCCAATCGCCGCGCCTGGTTTCCGTCTTCGCGTCCACGCAGGACACCTCGGTCAGCTATGTGGCCACGACGAGCCTAAACTTCAAAAAGCCCCTCGAGGCCGTCCCTTTGCTTAAGGGCGTAACGGGCGGCAACTTCTCTCCGTTCGTGTCCGAGGACGGCGCGATGCAGCAGCTCATTGTGTCGAGGGAGGACGGTACGCTTTCGCTGCTCCAGCAAGACCTCCTTTCGCAGCAGTGGAGGGAGCAGCCGTTTTACGTCCCGGACCTCAACGAAAACATCGAGTTCAACGGCTACATGACCCGCATTACCGTCCAAGGACAAGACGGGGACCCGGCCAGCGAGGCCACGCTGCTGCTCGCGTGCCCGGATGGGTGGACCGAAATCCTCGCCAACGGGCGCACCATCAGCGTCGGGCCCGATGGCACCCCCGTGTTGCTGGACCTGCAGGGCACCCTAACGCTCATCATCCCTAGCGAGGACGGCTCGTGCACAGAATTCATTCTAAGCGACTTGCCGGGCCTGCCGCCCGTCCTGAACGCCTCGTACGAAATCGACCCGGCCCACAAAGTGCTCGACAAGATGGAGGCGCTGGGCAAAGAAGGCGCCCTTCGCGAGGCCACCCTGCCCGACGGCACGCCGCTCCTCGACGGCTCCGACGCGAGCGACGACGACATCAAAAACGCCGAGGCAGCCATCCGCGCCGTTGGCGAGTCCCGCGCCGAGTCTAAGAAGCAGGGCCTGCTGCGCCGTCGGGCCCGAGACGTAGACGAGCGGGCCTTTGAGCCCGGGGTCGAGAGGACCCTTGCCGACGTTGGCACGGTTGTCTGCGGCAATATGCCCCTCGCCCGGATGGCCTCGACTATGAGAGTCAAGAACAAGAGCTGGGTAAGTGATGTCCTCTCTCCCTTCCTCCTCCTTTGCCCCTTTTCACCGGAGCCGCCCTTGTTTGTCGTTGCCTTAAAAATCCCGCGTTTAATTACCGCATGGCGTTTAATACTAACAGTTTGGCACCTTCCTCGCATTCTCCTGCCGCGCGTAATCCTTAGTCCTTTTGGGAAAGCGTCAAAAACGCGTTTAAGAGAGGCGCCCTTTGGCTCATTGAAAAGGTCAAGGACGGGCTCAACTTTCTCGTCGAAATCGCGGGTGAAATTATCAGCTTCGCGGTGCGCACGCTCGAGCAGATCGGCAAGGCCCTGGCCTTTGTTTTCAACAAGATTCTAGGCGCTATCAAAAAGTTCATCGACTTCTTGAAGCTCCTTTTCGATTTCAAAGCGATCCTGAGGATCAAGGACGAGATCAAGGGAATCACTAACGGCTTGATGGACGTCTTGCCAGCCACCATGGACAACTTCAAGACGAACGCCAACGTTTTCCTCAACAAGACCAAGAGCGATATCCGCACTGCCCTGGGTGTCCCGGCCCTTTCGGAAGTCAAAGGTGCGAAGGACAGCCAGAACGACCCCATGGCAAAGGAGGGCGGTGGGCTCAAGGACAACTCATCTACGCAATACAGCAACTACCAGGTACGTTTAATTATTATGCTTCTTGCCCAAAGGGCCCCCCATACTAATCTTGATGGCCATAACCACACAGCTGGATCACGGCGGCGCCGCCACACACGGCAGCGTGTCGGACGAGTCGGCTGCCCGCAGCGTCGAGGAATTCCGCGGCCGGATGCGCGCCATGCATGCCCCAGAACAGCGGAGCCTCGCTCAGCAGCAGAAGGAATCCGATATCACCGACGCCCTCAAGCCTCTGCTAGGCGGTAACATTTCGGGTTCCACTTTCAAAGGGGTCGTAGTCGCGATTCTGGAGGAGCTCATCGACCTCGTGGCCGCGGGTGTCTCGGCCGGGGTCGAAGTCATCAAAACGGGTGTCCGGGCAGTGCAGAAGCTCCTCAACGCCAGGATTAACATCCCCATCTTCTCGGCCTTGTACCGCAAGATCACCAATTCCGACCTCACCCTCCTCGACGCGGCCTGCCTGGTTCTCGCCATCCCGGTCCACTTTGTGACATCCCTGCTCACGGGCTCGGAGTTCAGCCTGGGCGGGCTTCGCATTTCGCAGTTGATTTCGGGGGATGCCTTCGGCCCAGACAGCGGCAGGGACGCCAGGGTCGCGCTCCGGAAGCCGCTTGACGAGGATGAAATCAAGAGGCGCCAGAAGGCCGGCTACGTTCTCGGATATCTCAACTTCATTATCCGCATATGCCGCATGTTCACCAGCTCGGCCCTTATGAAGAAGCCCAAGACGCCCGGAAAGGGATCCAGCGAGGCACCCGGGCTCACCGCCGCCCGCATCGCCGCCCCCAGCATCTCCGTGCAGCAGGCCCAGCAGCTTCAAAAGTTCGGGGCGCCCCATCCACTTGCTTCCGCCGCTCGGGCCGGCGCGCTGCGCCAGGGGGCGTTGGCCAAAAGAGCTGGCCCTGGCCCTGACTATGGACTCATCGAGTTGTTGGAACTGCTCCTCATCACCCTTAATGTGGCTTGCACGTACCCCCTAAACCCGGACGACGAGCAGTTCAACAAGCAGAAGGCACTGTGGGGCTTCGCCATATTCGCCGAGTGGATGGCGATGGCGGAATCCGATAAAATCCCCAATTCGGTCATAGTCATCAACCTCTGCAATGTCATCGTCATCGCGGGCCTCGAGATTGAAATTAACGCCAACACTGTGAAGGATGAGCCCGGCGAAAGCATTGCGAGGATTGTGCAGGCGGTTGTCGACGCCGCGGGCGGCGTATGCGGCATCTTCGAGCTGAGACGGGCCAACCTTCTGGCGCAGATCGTCTCCGCTTGCCTCACACTCGGTCTCACCATCGTCGAGCAAGCGAAGGCAGACTGGAACTGGATGCAGCCTTAAGCAAGCCGGAAGCGCCAGAGTGCTCGCGGCGCCAGCGAGGCATTCCCCGGGGGGCTAGCGTTATTTAAGTCAGTGCACCCCCTGTCCGCCATCCCCACCGGGCATCGGATCAACACCTGTCACAAAGGAGGCTATCACCAAGGGCCGCCGCACTGTTCCAGGCCTTTGTTCGGACGATTTGCACGGGCACCGGTGCTCCGCACCGGTGCCGCACAAGGTAAATGCTTGCCGAGCACTTGTTGGCAATGACGAGGGTGCGGTAGCGAGTACCGCGCCTGCAAAAGAGGGGATCACTGTATATAAGGAGGGTACAAGGCCCTCGGCCCTGTACCCGTCCTCTTTTCTCTTTCAGAGATCTAGCTCAACGCACAATAGACCCTATTTTGCACTGTTTGTCCGTCACAACACCAAACCTAGCCCTCCAATCGGCTTTTAACTGTCTGCGGGGTCAATCCCCGTGTGACATATCACGCGGGACCGTCCGATCAGGATGAGAGAGGAATTTCGATGAGCGCCTGCTAACTAGCAATGCAAAGATAGGAGAGTTGCCAAGGTACCAAAGTTGAAGCTCTACAAGGCCAAAATACAGTAGAGAAAAGTGGAAGAGGAGAGGGTATCTAGGAACCCCGTCCACCCTCCGTTCCGAGCATAAACCATGTGCTGTTGAGTGCAGTGCACGGACCCTCGGTCACGTGATGGGCGGGGACCTTATCCCATCGCCCGCACGGCACACGGATAGCTTCATTTGAGGCTTCACGACACGCACGACAGATAGATCGCCCACGCCTTGATAGATACTCGAGGCCCTAGGCGATAGATACTCTTGGTGCCCTTCGGGGTTACCTTATATTTACGTCTTTTCACCTCCTACGGACTCCCTTGATGCGATATGTGCATCCTTTTACAATCAGGAAAAACCGTGTCTAGAGAAACGAAGGGAGGTTCGAGACACCGTACAACACTACGCCGAGTTGTAAAAAATAGGAAGAGCATTAAATCCTGTGCGGAATCGAATCCCTCCTCGCAATCGTCTTCTTGCACAACAGCGAGTTCTTGCACTCGCGGTTGTTGACAAAGTCGTCGAGGTTGCGCAGCGTGCACTCGGCGATCTCGGTCAGGGCCTCCTCGGTGAAGAAGGCCTGGTGGCCGCAGACGACGACGTTGGGGAAGGTCATGAGGCGCATGAGCTCGTCGTCCTGGATGATGTCGGCCGAGTGGTCGTTGTAGAAGAGCGCGCCCTCGCCCTCGTAAACGTCCAGGGCTAGGCCGCCCAGCCGGCGCGACTTGAGGGCCTCGATGACGGCCTTTGTGTCGACGAGGCCGCCGCGCGAGGTGTTGATGAGCAGGGCGCCCTCCTTCATCTTGCCGAGAGTCTCGGTGTTGATCAGGTGGCGCGTCTTGTCCACGAGCGGGCAGTGCAGCGACACCACGTCGGAGCGGGCGAGTAGCTCGTCGAGGCCGACGTAGTCGCCGTACTTCTTGAAGTCGTCGCTCTTGAGCACGTCGTAGGCCAGCAGCGTGCAACCGAAGCCGTGCATGATGCGGGCGAGGGCGAGCCCGATGCGGCCGACGCCGACGACGCCGACCGTCTTGCCCGATAGGGTGCGGCCTAGCAGGCCGTCGAGCGAGAAGTTGCCCTCGCGCACGCGGTTGTAGGCGCGGTGCGTCTTGCGGTTGACCGTCTGGATCAGCGCGACGGCGAACTCGGCCACGGCCTCGGGCGAGTACGAGGGCACGTTTGCCACCTGCAGGCCCAGCTCCTCGGCGGCGTCCAGGTCCACGTTATTGTACCCCGCGCACCGGAGCAGCACGGCGCGGACGCCCGCCTCGTGCAAGCCCTCGAGGACGGGGCGCGAGAGGTTGTCGTTGACGAAGGCGCACACGGCGTCGGCGCCCTGGGCCAGCGACACCGTCTGCGGGCCCAGCGGCAGGTTGTGGAAGATGATGTCGACTTGGGTGTGCGACGAGTCGGCCTGGTGGGCCTTGTGTACCTGGCGGATGTACTGTTTGTCGTAGGACTTTGCGCTGAAGACGGCGAGCTTCATTGTGGCGGGCGGGGTAGTGGAAGTGCTGTGGTTAGGTGTGTGTCTAGGTGATGGTCTAGAGGGAATAAGTCTATCGACAGTAGTGGTATCTTTTCGCAGAAGTCTCTAGGTATTGGTCTAGGAAGGTCTAGGGGACCGGCGATGAATGCCGAGTAAAACGAAGTCTTGATGGGAATCTATCGATGATGGTGATTCTGCTATGAGTGCGACGCTTGTTGGCTCCAAGGATGGCGACAGCTTTCAAGATAAATGTGGCGGGCAGACTGCGCAGGATGATGGTGGGGGTGTTTGCCAAGCAGCGCGCGCCATTTCGTCGGGTGGTTGTGGTGCTGCCCTACCCATCCCAACAGGCAGAGCCAACGCTTGGCAGCCGCCGTCGACCCAAGCTCAGCAAACACGCGGCGGAGACCGTGGGGCTCAGCACTCACACCGTCGGACGGTCCTGTCTCTCGTACGACAGCCAGTGCCCAGTCCAGCTGCGCCCAGCCGCCACGGGCCTGTAGTCAACCACAAGGAGAGGTCTTATCAGGCTGGGCGAAGCTGCTTTCCATGTTTAGCATGCATGCTTCCTTCCCAGCTGCTGTGCCGTGGCGCTGGGCCTGCACAACAGCCCACTCGGCAAATATCGCGCGCTCGGTGTCAGCGAGGATAAAGCGGGTGCTGGGGCGGTTCCGCGGCCCGCTAGCTGTCACTGGAAAAAAGCGCGGTTTGACCACGTTGCTTGCGAGGATGGCGTGCATTGGAACGCTTGTCTCGGACAAAATGCAGCCATGGATGCCGCCAGCCCTGTGGTAAGCAATGACTCTACAGTGACGATGCCCCTGAACGGCACTCCGCTAGCCCGCCTCTAGGATGGTGTCGGGTCTTTTGCTGGAGCTGAGCCGCGGCAGGGTATCAATTATTGATGGCTTCTGGGTGACATCATGGCACCACACATCCTAGCATCGCACGCGCTCTCGCCTGTTCCGTCCAGACCCGTCTTATGGGTGCACAAGCAGAATTAGCGGGCTGCCATTCCATGGAGCAAATTCCAAGGGATCAATGACAGGGCCAGAATTGTCGTGTCATTCTGTCCGGGCTTCTTGCCCGATCCGAATTGATAGGCTCAATTCTCGGTCCTGTCAATGCCACACCTCGTGTTTGTCGCTGTGACAAGTCCCTGGCTGGTATCAGTGCCCTTGACAGCCCTTAACCACAGGCGCAAGTCGCCTGACAGCTGCAACGCTGACACCACGGCCTGTCCTGCCCTGTGTCATTGTCTATCACGTGCTGCTCGTGCCCAGAGGATGTCCCGTGTTCTTATACGAGACCAATCGACATCCCTCTCCCTAACAGGAAAGTGAGCGAGTGCAATGGAACTCCATGGCGGCGGCAGGCCTTGGTGATATGCCCATCCAGGCGGCCGAGTAACTGCTGCATGGGAAAATAGTCGGAATTGCCCGGTCGCTCTGCGGCCACAGCCATGACGTCCAAAGCACCCACATTACACAATGAGTTCATCTGCTCCACCGCTTGGCTCGCCGCTTGCTCCCAATGAGGTGGACACAGACAGAAGCAGGCAAGAAGCCACGTGGAAGATGATATCGAATCTTCATAAGAAAGCGGCTTCATCTTACGTGGCTGCGCATATTTCCCATTGACTCTAAACTATAACCTCGATACCGCCTAGTTGATAGCCCGTGAGGGGGAAGAAAGGATGGCCACGGAAGGGGTGGGTTGAAAGGAAATAGAAGCCGGGCCTAGGCCCTGCTCCTTCTAGATACTGCACACTCGTAGAGTGACCCGGGTGGCTATTTATAGGCTGTGCGACGCCTGCAGTTCTGTACATACTCCCACACCCGGGGGCAGGAGTATAGCTAGGGTCTGTGTTTTACAGATGGAAAGAATTCGGTGCCAAGTCTATACGGATAATCAGGAGGGATGCAGGTGAACAAGAGGAATACAGGTGAGCAGGAACGACCGCAAATTTGCTGATGAAACGGTCCTTGTTGACTGGCCCGCCCTTTTCACACTGGCCAAGTCCTCAGCTCAGAAGAACCAGAGTAACCGAGTCTCCTCAGCTCAGAAGAACCAGAATAACCGACTCTCCTCAGCACGCAAGCGACTAGCCTAGTCACTTGGCAGGTATAAGGATTGGCTTGCTAGTTCCGATTTCCACTCCTCAGGACAACAATTTCAACTTGGCCGTCTGGCTTCTTGTCATCCGAGGAGAAATGCCACTCCGAACCTTCGTCGGTGGCGGGTTCGCAGTGGCCCGCGACTCGCGAAGGGGCGGTCTGGTCGCGCGAAGAAAGGCGGCGTAGTCGTGAGATCCGACCTTCCACTCTTCTATCCACACGCGCAGCACCCCGACGGCGGCGCCGAAAAGCTTATCCTCGGCCGGCGGCGCCTCGACCCGGCCCAGCTTCTTAAGCTCGCGCTCGAGGACGGCAGCCGTGCCCGGCTTGAAGAAGTCGACCCAGTCGTCTGCCGCCTTCTTGGGCGGCTTTACGTCGCACAGCGGGTTCCACACGCCGTGGGCGCTCGACGCATGCAGCAGCTCAAAACAGAACCGTAGCGCATGGTCGTTGGCCGTGAAGCCGGCCTTGTCGGCACCGGCAAAGACATGGCTAGTGTTGAGCTCCATGTCTGCGACCTCGTATGGTGTGGGGACCGGTGTATCTTGCAACTTGGCAGTGCTGGGGGTGAGGAAGCTGTCGCGGTATTCGAGAAAAGCCGCCTCGGCACGACGGCCAAAGGCCCACTCGCGAAGATACCATCTCCAAAGGCTGCTGCTTGGGAGACTGAAGTCGGCGGTGAGTGTATCGAGGGCAGTTTCTTTAAGGATGCTTTGCTTAGGATCTAAACTTGTCAGCGATGCCATCGCTTGCTGGGGCGGTACACAGTCGCACTGGATTACCATGTGGAAGGCTTGATGTTGGTTTGGGTTTGTCATGGGGTAAACGTTGCAATGTTTTCTTGCCAGGTTCATGTACCTTCTGGCCTTGTTAAGGAGCGGGCCATTCTCTTATAACTGTTCTTGCAGAATGGAGAAGTAGCCTTCTTAGGGACAATGGGGGGATATATTTATAGCTGAAAGGAAATTTGCTTGTTGTTGATGACAGCGAGTGGGCGGTTCGCGGGACAGAAGACTGGTGAAAATCCTGCAACAATGGAGAAATACAAAGGGCAGCGAGGAAACCACTGCGCCCTTCCAGGAGGCTTCGGCTCGTCTGATAGTGGGCTTGCCCTGCCCATTGTTTGGGGTCACGTGGCAACGTCTCCCTTCGGCACCACTCGACGGACAGATACCTGGGGTGCTCCTTCCTCTTTTTTAATTCCTACATCTTGAGACTGCTGAACGCTGTCCTCCATCTTGCACGATTTCTAGCGTGGCTAGCTCAACGTCTCCCAAAATATTTACCACTGTCAGTTACTCCAAGGTGCTGCAGTTCGAAAGCAGGCCAGTCAGGCCAGAGGTAGTATCTCCTTGCGATACCAACAACGGCATAGCTTGCTGATGGATAGTCGCAATACCTACCAGATTCGTTGTACCTGCCCTGATAAAAGATTGATGGTCCTAATCCCCGGAGTGGTGTCCTGCCGGTCTTGTGCACGAGGCTGGCGCCCTCCGCCTTTTCAATAGCCACGCTAATATCGAACTGCGAGAGAATCCGATCACTCTGCTACCACTGCCTCAAAGATGAGATAATCCCACGAGCGAATATTCCCCTTCAGAGCGGCAACTTTGACCGAGTAATCCTTGGCACACACCCAACCTTGCGTATATACGGCCTTCCGCAACGAGACGAACAGAGCACCTCCTTCCTCGTCCTCATGCGGCAGCAAGCTCTTATGCTGCGATGGCACAAGGGGGGAGGAGCCTCATAAGTGCCGGCAACGATTTCCACTATATAGCCCTGAGATCTGGAATGGAAGTTATAAATGGGGGGTGGCCGCGGGAACAGGACATGGCGAGCATGGAGAAGGTTGGACGAGAGGCTGCCACCAGTGAGAGACACACGGTATGCATACGGGATACATACGCACACCTGGTTCAAGGAGGAGCAACATAATTTATTATGTGAATAGCAGATGACAATAACGAAGACCCAGAGAATGCGAGCGGCGGCTGATCAGGGGGGAGTGCATCAAATGGCCGGACAAGCCTCCACCTAGAGCCAATGCAGAGCAAGGGAACAAGAGGAATGAAAAAGACATGACGTAAGCTCCACATCGCTGGCTGGTTTTACGTCCCTTCCTTGTCAAATGAGCTCCAGCCTGGGGGTGGTTTGTGGCACCGGGACATGACCCCGCGGCCGGTCTCACGTGATGATTCGCAGCTGGAAGAGCAGCTCTTCGGCAGCCAGAACGAAGGTGCCTCGGTGTTGGGTAGCGGTTGTGGATGGCTTCGTCTGGGGGGCGGATGCAAGAATAAATGTTCTTCTGGGCTTGGACTCGCGGGCGGCTACGTGGGCGGGATGTAGCCCCAGCGCGTCGCCGCAGATCGGTTCGCTGGTCGAGTCCCGCTCGGTGCAGGCCTTTATATGGACCATGTTGGGTGTTTTGTTGGCACTCCACAAGCCATGACCTATCATCGATGCTTCAGACAGGCCGCCTCTGCGAGGTCTGGTGTGCCTGCGCGGCTCAAACAGGGCGCCTGACAGCGCTATCTGCTGGCCCCGCCCACGACTCCACTGCGGTGGGCTGTCGGCGTCGACATGGGAATTCGGAGATAGCTTCATCTGGGGGTACATGTCTTCTGGGTCTGGCGTCTTCATGGCTCAATCCCCTCAGCCACGCGAGTGCCCGGGCTTCCTTGGCAACAGTTCACGAATCCCCCAAGGGGCGGGCACATAGGCGTCTAGGATTTCGACTGCAAGGGTCGTGGGGAGGCTGGACTAGTCTTGGGCACCCGACCCCAGCTCCAGCTACTACGGGGGAGCAGTATATTCGCATATGCCTAATTGCGTCCTTGGTCACTACAGCTCCTGGATTACGTACCGGAGCTTGTGCTGGACTGACTCCGCCGATACGACCTGTCACCTCTCCGCGTTTGATGCCAAACACGCCGCATCCCATCACTGATGTGTGGGTTGGCTGCTGAAAGGAGAGGGAATAACACAACTTGCTAAGATAAAAACTTTGATTGACTGTAGCGTGCTATGAACTATTTGAAGGGAGGGCAAAGTACCGCCAGCTCCCTGTAGGGATTCTCCTACTGCCTCTCGACCAGAGGAAGTGCTTCCAAAGTATAGGTGACACTCACTAACCCTCAACTAACAATGCGGCATACGCCGGCATCTATCCCCAGCCATCTGTGATGAGCGAGCCCGCCTGCTCAAGGACTTATTCTCCGACACGTGGGATCCCAAACGTTACAAGAAACACGGACGCATGAACATGATGAACGACGAGTTGGAGACCATTGACAGTCTTCCTCGCCGGGGGAGCAACAGGATAGATGCAGGCGAGGTGAGGGTGTTCAGGCCTGAGGCGAGGGACCTGTGGCTGAGCCGGCGTCATTGTCAGGAGCCGAGACGCGTGGAGGTGGGGTCTGTGATGTATTTCTTGATGACCATACTGTGATAGGCCATTGCCTGGGAGGGCGAGCGAGGGTCGCCGCCTGATGGGGACTCCTGCGCTTGGAGCCACGGCAGTGCGCCCATGGGGTGGAGGTTATCTGGGGGGGCAGATTAGTGATGGTCGAGCCGAGAGGAGTGAAGAAGGGGCGCGAGCTCACCTGCGCCTGGGAGGCGTGTTCGGTGGTGTGTAGTCCGGCGTTGTGCTGATTGGCCTCGGAGGGAATGGTGACGGAGGCGGCTGGCGAGACAGGCGCTGCATTTTTTCCCTGGCCGTTGGCGTGATGCTTTCCCTGGTCGTTGGCGCGATCCTGAGGAGTCTGCTCAGATATTGCAGATGCTGGGATGGGTTCTAGAGTTGATTGATTGTTTGGATGCCTGAGTTGATGAGGTTTGTTGGTTGGATTTGGAGGATTGGTCGGTAGATTTGGGTGTTTGTGGAGGAGAGAGGGTAAGCGTGGGAGACGGAGCAGGCTGGGTTAAACAGCTGGTAAGCAAACGAACTGCATTGCCGTGTGCGAGCCCAGATCGCTAGTTCCAATATGTTTAACAACGGGGCTATATTTTTACGGGCAGGCACGAATTATTTAGCCAAGCTGGTACTCGGACTTTTGGTTAAAACGAAAGGCTAGTGCTATTTGCTATGTACAGCGCTAAAGATCCCTGGCTTGCGTTATATTAGCTTTCAAAAATTATTTTTTATCTATTGCCTAGCAGCCATTTTCATTGCTATTTCAATGTGGCATTGCTCGTTGTTTAAATTCAAAATGAGCTAATTATTTTATTATTTTTTATAGCATTTACCTAAGAAACCCATATTTACTTTTCGACGCAAAATACAAGCCATTTAGGATCGCTTTTGCCAGAAAACTATACAATATACAAAAAGCACACCTTGGATGGAAAGGAGAGCTGCTTTTGCGGTGCCAGCTAGATTATTCTGCTTGAGCTGCCATTTCCTTTGTTTTTTTGCACTTTTCGTTTCTTTTATGTAGCTTTCCTCGAGTGTCACTGACGGCAAGGAGTATGTAAAAGTGAAGCTAGACACTTTCCTTTAAAACTCAAAGCATGGGCCTGATAGGTGTGACGCAGAGTTGGGGGCCTAGCCAGGAATTGAGGGAATCACGGAAGGTCCAGGGACTACAAAAGGAGAAGTCAGGCCAGCCATAGCGGCTAGCCTTCTGTTCAGATCACATGCCACCGGGAGAGGGAAGCTGGGCTTGCACTGCTGGTTCTTGGCAGTAGCATTCAGGAAGCAGTTGGGCTCAACGTGGGTGCCTGCAGCGCATTCCAATCCACCTGCCTCTAGGTAGCCACCCAGCATGAAGACGTGGATCTTGTGACACAATGGCACACAAAGGCGATATCTATAGGAAAGAGATATGGAATGCAGTGAGGAAAGTCCCCAGGTCGGTCAGACCCCCGTCTTTGATGCACTTTGGTCTGCTCCTTCCATGTTCCATGCTGCCTTGGCGGAAGTGAGGCTCCGGGCATGGAGCACATGTGCTGGGCTGCCGGGCCACGTGCTGTTGCGTTGCTCTTGCTGGGTGGAGCAATGCCAGGCTAATTAGAGGGTTCTTCCCCGGCAGGCCCAAGGACACGTGCGGCCGAGGTGTGTGTGACGAACCGGGATCCTCAACAACTCTGAAGGCTTCAATATGCTGTGAACACGGTACCTCCTTCCTTTACCACTCCTCGACTGCGTCAAGTTATTTATGGCAACGCGGCATCTCGCAGATGTTAGGTTTGCCCCTCATTGACCTACCCGCCATGACGTGTTCTGGTCCACACCGGCCTCACGAGTCTCAAGCCACACTCTGCCCGAAGAGCGGCATCGTACGATTGCTCTCTGTGGGATAGAAGGAAGCCTGTCTCGTGCTTTAACGTATTGGTCATCATGGCGTGTTGCTTGGAGACGGATAACGGTCTGGGCCAAGTGTTGGAAGTGATGCCTGAATCGCCTTGGTTCCGTGGCAATCACTTGGCGGTTGCCATGTCTTCGCTCTGAGCCTGGAATGTTGAGCTGAAGCGGTTGAGTATGTGTCCCTGTAGCTCCTTCCTTCGCGTGCTATCTGTGTTCACTGGTTCCGTTCCACCTGCCTAGCCAGCTCGAATCCCCCCGTACCCAAGCGGGTACTCTTGTCTCCCGTCTTTTCTAATCCTGACTTCGCTCCTATGTTGGGGAATCGCTGGTCTCCAGACTTGCTCTCCATACCTATTATCCTCATTATTTGTAATTCTTCCTATTCTTGTATGCCTACCTTTTATCATCCATCATCATTCTATTTATTTATTTATCTTCCTTTCTCCTTGGAAATACTCCTCCCTTGCTTCATCTTGACCAGATCAACAGCGAGGCGCCTAGGAGGGCACACGGTCAGGGCTACCCACAGCCATGGCCGCTGTAGCCCGGCCAATTCCCGGACGCCTCGCTGACCCAGATCACCATCAGGGGCGAGCACATTGCGCCCGCCGGTATACCCACCGACTTCCCTCTATTCACTCACCGGCATTTCTCCTGCTTTTACTTTTTCTCCCGGGATCTTGTTGATCTGCTGCGGTTATGAGTACGACCTGACGTGAGCGCGTTTTCCTCCACGGAATTCCCCGAGTCCGTTTGGGCTCGGCCGATTCAAGAGAATTGTCAAGTCCAACTCCGAAGGATCCAGCACCAGCGCCAGCACCAGGGGCACCAAGAATCCATGCATGGGCGAAAATCAAGCAAATCGCTCCAATCTGCAGCTGTAAGTCCATTCTACGTCATTTATCCTTTGCTCGCTACCACCCCCGAGTTGGCGAGTTCAGTGTGCCAAGACTGGCAGCATGGCAGGAAACATGCCGGGACTAATATTGAGGGTCTCCTATCAGGTACTGCGCTGCCATCGGCAAAATCTCGCCAGACAACTCCTCCATGCCGAGATCCGCTCGAGCTCTGCTCCGGATGGCACAAGCCCAGCCCTGCCCAGACAACGGACGACTCAGCCCACGGCGCCGCAACATTTAGCCGACGGGTACCTCGGCACCTCTGGTAGCTTCGCACCGCCGGTAACAATATCCAGATGACAGTGACACCCTGTCCGCGCCATATAACCCCAATTTCTCCACCTTCAAGCCATGCCTCGCAGACCCTGCTCCAAGAGTGGTGCCTTTCTCCGCGACATTTGCCGGATGGTCTTCTGTCTCCAGCTATATCTACCGCGGATGCCCCAGTTCTACTAGCTGTCAGAATTCCTAGCCATGGAATCTTATGCCCACAGCATAGAGCTTGTACACAGAGGCCGATCTCTTGGGCATCCGCGCTTTCCAGGGGCAGCTTCACCATGGTCTACATACCTGCCAGCATGGTTTCCATGCTCCTCGCCCTCCTGTCATGTCTCATCCTCTTTACCCACGCCTCCGGTCTCCAGGGCATGGTTGCCCGACGCGGGGTGCTCGGCGTCCCTAACATGTCGGACGCCGCGGAGTTGCGCCACTTCGAGGTCGTGCGCCGGCAGTCGGCGCAAGAATGCGGCCCCCAGGGCGGCAACAGGCGATGCCCCAACAACCTGTGCTGCTCCGACTATGGCTGGTGCGGCGACAGCCTGGACCACTGCGATCTGCGCTGGTGCCAGGCCCAGTTCGGCCGCTGCGGAGACGCACCGCCGCCGCCACCCACGACCACGTCCACAACGAGCACTACAAGCTCTAGGACGACCACAAGCTCTAGAACGACCACAAGCACGTCAACTACTAGCACTACGTCCACGTCGCCGCCGCTGCCGGGTGGCACACTGATCGTCAGCCCCAACGGGCAGTGCGGGAACGTCACGACGTGCGCGGGCTCGGGGTTCGGGAACTGCTGCTCTGAGTGGTATTGGTGCGGGAATGGGCCCGACTACTGCGCCACTGGCTGCCGTTCTGCCTTTGGCTCCTGCGGCGGGGTGAGCTCCTCGTCGTCTTCTTCATCCACGACTTCGACTACCACAAGCACTAGCTCTTCCACCAGCACTGTTCCAAGCACGACCACCACAAGCACCTCCACGTCAACTTCCTCCACAAGCTTGGCCCCGCCTAGGCCTACAGATGCGAGCACGGATGGACGGTGTGGTCCTGAGGGTGGCCGGCAGAGATGTACGGGCTCGGACTTCGGACCGTGCTGCTCGGACTATGGGTGGTGCGGTGAGGGGGCTGATCATTGCGATGCGCGCTGGTGTCAGGCAGCCTATGGGAGATGTGGGTAGCAACTAGATGTCTATGTCCTGTAGGGTATCTGGGTGCTTGGAAGTCCTGGGTTAGATCTGTAGATTGTTCCGGAATTCGAGAGATAGAGAGAGCAGGTGTTGAAGACCTCGTATTCCATTGAGCGCCCACCTACAAACACTTGCATCTGAACATGAGGCACGCGGTCGTCTTGCGGTACCAAATCAGTGTTTCCTGCTGGTGGTGATATGAGAGTCCATGGCTGCTCCTCTAGACAAGCTCACTAAGCAGGATGATGCTGGAGGCTATGAATGGAAATGAACGACTTGAAACGCATTGGTATCGCTAGAGGGTCTGTCTGCTGCTAAGTATGTGCTAAGAAACACAGGAAATCCAGGAAGCCACCGTCGAAGACGACGGCAATGATACATCACCTCCCAGCCCCGAGTCTGTTATTATGTCATTCTTCATGTCTTACCCAATCCTTCCCACGCCTCCTCTCCCCGACCTCGATCCAACCCCGGAGGATATTACGACGAATGAAATTTGCCTAAACAGACGCCACCTCGTATTCACGGTCAGCTGTCCCTCCACACGTGCGTGTCACCTAGGCTGAGCGAGCTGGACGTACTACCGCCCCCGCCTCGGGCCAGGCCGCCGCCGTTGCCGCCCGCGCCCTCGCCCGACACCAGGGACGGGTGGCGGTACTCGAGCTCCGGGCCGAAGGACTCGTCCCTGTAGGGGTCGCCGCTCTCGGAGCCGGCCTCGGAGGGCTGGGGCTCGGGTATCATCGGGGGCGGGTCGTCGTAGATCCACGGCTGCTCGAGTCTGTGTGTGTTGCGTGGGGCGCGAGCCCGTCATGTTAGTTACTTGCGTGAGGGAGGGAAGGGTAGATTCGAGAGCAAAGGCCATGTGTGTAGGAGGGAGCAAGAAAAGGGAAGAAGCTAAACTTACGGAACGACAAGGCTGGGGTTGATGAACCGCAGCCCCCGCTCCCGGTCCTCGTCGACGGTGCTCATCCTCCGTAGCATGCGCCTCCTCCTGCCGGCGCGCACGACGAGGTCGTGGGACGGGCCCGGCGGCGGGACGGCCGACTCGAGGTCGTCGTCGTCGCCATCCCCGTCCACGATGGCCTCCTCGCTGCCGCCGCCACCGCTGGCCGCGCCGTCGCCGTCGCCGTCGCCGTGGCGGTGGTGCTCCTCGCGGCGGATGCTGCGCAGCGATATGTACTTTGTCAGCGGCTCGAAGCGGCGGCGGAAGTAGTAGCTGTACCAGCATGTCACGACGAGCAGCGGCAGCACCAGGATGGCGCACACGTAGGCCGTCTGCAGGGCCAGGATGCCCGACATGACGGCCTGGAAGATGAGCAGGCCGAGGATGACGCGGTACGAGATGATGCGCCAGGCGCCGCCCGTGGCGTGGCGGGGCGCGTCCATGGCGTAGAGGAGCTGGTACTTGTAGGTGAAGTAGCCGAGCGTGAAGTAGACGAGGCCCAGGATCAGGACCAGGTAGCCGTCGGGCAGGACGCTGTAGACGAGGCACAGGATGAAGATGAGCAGCGCCGTGGGCAGGTAGAAGCCGTAGCTGAAGATGGGCGGCTGCTTGGCCTGGGCGCGGTCGCGCGGAGTCTTGGCGAGCAGCCGGAGGAACGGATATAGGAACACGGACCCGAACTCGAGCAGGCGCACGGGGAAGAGGCCGAGGCCCTGGAGCATGATGAAGTTGATGTAGAAGTTGCTGAGCTTCTCGATGGAGAGCGCGACGTGGCGGGTCAGGAGCGTGATGTCGTGTATGTCCTCCTGCAGGCTCGACCAGAAGCCCGTGGCGGTGCCCGAGACGCTGAAGACGACGAAAATGTTGAAGAAGTTGAAGAAGAAGTTCTTGGAGATTATGGAGAGCTCGACGTCGCCGCGGCTGAGCTGGCCCTGCTTATGCGAGAGCCACTCGTACAGGAACGGCACGGTGACGCTCAGCAGCGACACCGTGCTGGTGGGCAGGCCCGTCTGCACGAGCGCCTTGATGGTTTGGTGCTGGGCCAACCACTGCGACAGCGACGGCCAGTACTCGTTGATGGTGCACAGGCTCAGCAGTGTGCCGAGCCAGGCGACGGGAATCAACCAGATGACGGACAGGGTGCCGACGCAAAAGGTGACGAACCACGAGCTAAGCCGACGGCTGCTGCGGGCCGTGTACGTGTTGCGCCAGACGACGTCGGCCGGGGCCGGGGCCAGCTTGGTCAGCAGCTGGCCGGGCCGCGGGTCGAGGAGGGCCTGGATGGCCATCTGGCACGCCGCGATCGAGTCCATGGTGACGAAGGCGATGTCGGCGGGCTCGTAGTGCTGCCTGCGCGCCACGACGATGCGCCCGTCCAGCCGCCGCAGCTTCTCCTCGTAGTAATCGATGGCGTCCGTCTTGCGGTTCCGCAGGCCCAGGAAGCCGTACCAGATGCGCGTCGTCGGGCGCTCGCGCTCCGAGAACTGGTGCGCCGCCGACTCGCCGCCGAGCAGCCTCCCGTTCTCGCCACCCGCCTCCTCCTCGTCGGGCGAGGAGCCGTTCATGTCGGCCAGCATGGACCTGCTGTTGTTGCGGCGCATGGCGTCGTCAGGCGTGTACATGGGGGACTTCTTGCGGAAGTCGGCCCACGCCTCCTCGAGCTTCTGGAGGACGGCGGCCCGCTCGGCGACCAGGCCGTCGAGCTCCTTCCAGTCCCTGCAGACGGTCACGCTCTCGACCTTGCCAATCTCGAGCTTCTCGATGAGGTCCTTGAGCTTGCCCTCGGTGCGCAGCTCCTTGGGGATCCCTGTGATCCTGAAGGTGCGGTCGGTGATGGTCGACTGTGTGCCGAGATACTCTTGGCGGATGCGGATCATCTTGAAGGTCTCGGAGTTGAGGAACCAGATCACCAGGAAGGTGAAGAAGTATGTGAAGACTAGATAGGCCCAGAGGTAGCCCATGTCCGGGTTGAAGCTGGTATCGGGGTTGGACTCGTTGAACGCATGGGCGTAGCCGGGGTAGCCATAGCCCTTCCTCGACGACTGCTGCCAGAATGCGTGGTGTTTCTTGTCCGATCCGTCGCGCGACCCGCGGCTCTTCTCGAAGCGGTTGTGGATGGGTGCCAGGACGGCGCCGGCGAAGAAAAGGAGGGTTAGGAGGATTCGGATCGCCATCTTGAAGAAGGAGAGGAACTACCGTGAGGACGGATATTAGCACGGCGTCGACGCAGCCAGGGGCTAGTTTGGCTGTGAATTTTGGACGTGGAACGCACCACATAGGCATCAAGCCCCGCGCAGGAGAGGACCTGGTCCTCTGTTATCCTATACAGCGCCGGGATCCATCCAAACATGGAGTCGGGGAGTGGCGGGAGCCCGACGGCAGGATCGAGGTGTCGCTTTCGGGCGGCGTATAGGGACTTCCATCGTGGTCGCAGGATCTAGACGGCGGTGGCGATTATTAGTCTTGCCCACAGCAAGCAGGATGGCAACGGCATGCGGCCCTCGAAACATGGAAAACGGTGTCGCGGGGTCAGGGGCCGGTCCGCGGGCCTGGACGCGGCGACTTACACAGAAAGCGAAGAAGGCGGTAAAGCCCAAGGAGGCGGCGAGCACGGCCTGGACCTCGATGTCCTTGGTGCCGGGCTCGATGGCGTCGTAGCCGTCTTTGCACTTGTCGGAGTCCTCGACGCCGGCTATAAAGACGTCCATCGTGGCTGGTGTGGTGCGCGGCTCGGCCGGCAGAAGGCGTGAGAGCTTCTCGGAGCGGCCAGCAGCAGCTCGTGTGGCTTGTTTTCCGGCAGAGCAGAAACAATGCGACGGCCTGAGCCAGGGGCAGCACGCGTAGCTGACTCTGTGAAATGACGTTATGTGGGGAGGCCTCTGCACGTGCGGCAAATGTAACGGTCTTAGCTGATGCACAAGCCACGGCCGCCACACGGGTATGTCTTTGGCTTTTGCTGTCTGGCCTCTGTCGTTTCGGATACGCGGAGGTTATTCTTCATCCGGGGGAAATGGCACTCAAGCGGGCGTCTCATGGCTGTTGAAGGGCAGCCTACTGCTATGTCATCTCTGCTCAGGCGCCTGGGACTCCATGTCCACGCATATGAGCACCGCCACCTTATGGAGCTTGTGGCTGGTGTTTTTTTTTCTTTGGGCCTGGACACTTGGGGTGTCCCGGCAAAGGAAGCCTGCCTTGTGTCGTCGATTCACATCATCCCAACCTCAAGCAGTCTAATACTGCTTGTTGCCAGGCCCCTGAATCAGCATTTGCATGGTACCACTGTCCATTCGCATCTATAGTGGTGTTTGGTCGTGCAGTAGTGAATGCGTTGGTGTGACAGCTCGTGTGAGCCTCCACCGCCGCTAAACAGGTGACCACCATTGGCTGCCCAGAGCGTTGGACGCGTCCACAACTCGTCATCGGTTCCCAGGCAGCGCCACAGGCAAGTTGGCCAACAGTGAGGCTGGGCGTTCTCCGAGTTGCCCCTCCATCACGGCTCTCGCTCTGGAACATGCAGGACAGGGATGTGAAGCAGAGCGCTGTTGGGTAGTACCGGTAGTCTGCAGACGACATGCAGGGCGAAATATTGCACGGTAACTTTCAGATGGGCAATGGCTTCTTCACTTGGAGGCCGACAGCTGCTGCGCCGCCCCAGCGGGTTTGACCCGTCGACTCTTGGCTCGGCGCTTGCCGATGCACGCGGCTTTGGAGCACACCCTTGTCCCGGAATTGCAGCCTGGCCCCATGTCCTCCATGGCGGGCGCCCCATTGGGCTCGTGGTGCCCTGCTTGAGGCTGTGTCGCTTTGTGCATGTGCGTGGCGACCGTCACTGACGCCCAGCTGGCGCGTATGGTACGTAAGCCAGTGGCCAGGCCGCTTCAATAAATATCGTCATTCCGCCCAGTCTCTTGACTGCTGCTCGTTGCGCCCAGCTTCCGTCTGCTTCTCTTAGACACAACCATAGCCTAGCGCAGCAGCAGCCATGGCCGTGAAAACTCTGGACAATGCGCTGAACACGCAGGGGCTCGCAAACGAGCAGCGGTCCCTTATTGACCTGATTGCAAAGTGTGAGTTTCGTCTTGATATCCTCGCCTCCAAATGTTGGCTGACCATGAGGAACGTCTAGTGCAATTCGCACAGCTCGACAATGTCAAGCTGCCGCAGATCGTCGTGGTGGGCGACCAGTCGGCGGGCAAGAGCTCGGTGCTCGAGGCCATCACAGGCACACCCTTCCCCCGCGATGCTGGCGCATGCACACGTTTCGCAACCGAGATCCGCATGCGCCGGACCGCCCAGCCCAGCCTCAAGGTGGCCATCATCCCGGACAAGAACAGGCCGTACCGAGACCAGGAGGCCCTTCTGCGCTTCGGTGGCTCTGTCGACTCCAACACGCCCTTCGACACCATGATGCGGGCGGCCGTCGACCTGATCGCGCCCAAAAACATCCCTGGCCGCTTCGCCGCACGTGACATCCTCGTCGTGGAGAAGCAGGGGCCCGACATGCCTCTGCTGACCCTCGTCGACCTGCCGGGCCTTGTGAGGAACGCCAACAACGACCAGTCGCTGGACGACATCAGCACCATCGAGGCCCTGTCGGACCGCTACATGAAGAGCTCCCGCACCATTATCCTGGCCGTCGTCGGTGGCAACTCGGACTACGTCCAGGCGCCCATCCTCACCAAGGCCCGCCATTTCGACCCCAACGGCACCCGCACCATCGGCGTCCTGACGAAGCCCGATCTCACCGAGTCCATCGGGCTCGAGGACAAGTTTATCGATCTCGTCTGCAACAAGGACCAGCGCAACAACTTCAAGCTCGGCTGGTATGTCCTGCTGAACCCAGGCCCACGGGAGCCCGGCCAGGCATGGCCAACGGCTCAGGAGAGGACCCAGCGCGAGCACGAGTTCTTCACCAGGGGCCGCTGGACCGCCATCCCCGACAACATGCAAGGCGCCGACGCCCTCCGCAAGAAGCTCAGCGAGCAGCTGCAGCGCCATATCGGTCGTCACCTGCCCGTTCTGCGGCGGCAGATCCAGAAGTCTCTGGACGAGACCGACGGCGAGCTGAAGCAGCTCGGAGAGGGCAAGGACACTGTTGAAGAGATGAAGCTCGAGATGGTTGAGATGTTCTCGGAATGCAAGGAGCTGGCCATTCCAGCACTGCTGGGTTTCTACAAGAATCCCCCTAGGAAGAACTTCTTCCGCTCGACGGCGGACCCCAACGGAACACCCGCACGCAACCTACGCGCAAGAGCTATCGAAGGTGAGTCTTATACATTCCAGCTGGGCTCTTCCCAACCCTCGCACAAGACTGATGACCCCTACCCAACCCAGAGAACGAAAGATTTTCCCACAGGGTACGGACCAACGGCCGCAAGTTCAGCTTCACGGCGGTCAGCACATCTGCAGCACGCCGCCCCATGCCATCCGCGGATGGGCAAGACCAACAGCCGCAGCGTCCGCCCGACGATCCGGCCAGACGTGAATTCGTCGACCGTGAGGTCCAAGGCCTGCTCAAGCAGATCCGGGGTTCCGAGTTCCCTACAGACCCCAAGCCGAGAGCTGTCTACATGCTGTTCCAGAACTTCTCCGAGAACTGGCCGCGGCTGGCACAAGAGCACAAGGACAACCTGGGTGTGGTTTGCAGCGAATTCATCGGCGAGCTCATTGACTTTGCTTGGCCGGAGCGCATGCGCGAGCCCCTGACCCGGCTCTTCGTCGAGCCCGAGCTCCGAAGGCTGATGGACAAGGCCCAGACCGAGCTCGAGCTGCTGACCCAGGACATGAACCTCGAGATCCAGCCCTACGACCCAGAGTACGAGGAGCGCCTGCAGCGGTGGCACGCCGACAACACCTCCCCGGAAAGCGGCCGACGCAGCTACACTGAGGCCGAGGAGGTGCTGGAGAAGATGCTCATCTACTACGAGCTCTCGGCCAAGACCTTCATTCGCAACGTCATCACGCAAGTGGTTGAGCGCCACCTGCTCGGCGGCATGTACACACTCTTCAACGCCGTCGCCGTCCTTTCCATGGACAACGTGACCGTCGAGGCTATCGCGGCCGAGAACAGGGAGACGCGCGACCGCCGCCAGACGCTCAAGGCCCAGAAGAAGGCCATCGAGGAGGCGCGCGACCTCTGCTCCAGCCTGGCCATGCGCCGCGAGTTGAGGGCCTACGCCGAGGAGGATCGGGGTCTCGAGCAGGACACGTCGGATGAGGAAGATGGCGGCGGCGACAACAAGACTCCGACCTCGCCCCGCCACTATCAGCCGGCTCCCCAGCAGGATAATGCATACACGTCGCAGACAGCCCCGACCTCATCTCGCAGGGCTGTCCGCAGCTCTCAGCAGTCGAAGTACATACCGTCACAGCAGAATAACCAGACTGCCTACCCACAGCAACAGCCTCAGCAGCAGCCTCAACAGCAACAGCAACCTCAGCCGCAGCAGCAGCAGCAGCAGCAGCAGTGGCAGACTGAGCACCGCCAGGGCAATCCGTATAGCTCCAGCGGCGCCGGCGGCAGCTACCAGCCCACCCCGATCGTGCGGACCCCCGCCGCCGCCGCGCCCGAGCCGTCGGCCGACGACTACTACGCAGCGAGCAGCACCAACAAGGCGCCGCAGCAGGCCCCGCCGCCGCCCCCGCGGCCCGATAAGGTGCGTTCGGCGCAGACCCTCGAGCCCGAGTCACCGGCCGCCTCTGACTCTAGATACCACCACTCCAGCGCGGGTAGGGACGACGGCTACAGGTCAAGACCGACCTCCAGCAGCAGCGCGTACGGCGCGGCGCCCGATGCGCGTGTCCCGTCCACGTCGGCGGCCCACGAGGCGGCCGACTACATGCAGAGCTCGACTAGGAAGTACCCCATAAGGAAGATACTGGGGCGGGGCTGAGTCTTGGACCAACTTGGAGCATGACGGACGTCTCGAAAGGCTAGGCTTTCCAGGTGGCTTGTTTAACTTTGCGCGTCTCTATGGAGTAGTGTCTATTAGTGTTTTATCATCATTAGCGACATAGATAGACTCGGCAATATTCCATTTCTCTCTCTCTCAACTTGATGCTGTCTGTCTCATTTTCTCTTCTCCGGCTGAAGCACACGCAACCCATCTCAAGGGAGGCATGATGCAACTGGCACTATGACGTAGGTAGTTGCCTTGCGTCCTCTCAGGAGAGCATCGAAGATGCTGGACCACGAGTGACCCACAAAACTGTGCCTGCTCCACTGCCACAAGGCTCTGATATCAAAAAGAATTCTTCTCGGAGGGCAGGCCCGTTCCTAAACCTGAACTTTTCACCATACTACTTGATCTTGCATCAAAGCACCCTCTCCTGTTTCCGCTCCAGTTCCCTGCACTGAACAGTGCAGCATGGATCCTGCTTGAGGCTTGCTTCAAGCAGTGAGAGGCAGATCAAATCACCAGCGGGCTTCTTTGGGGGACTTCGCCGGAATCCGACTTCCCCGATACCCCTGCTGACATTCCACCGTATCTTTCATAATACTACACGCGATAAAGCGAATACCCGCTCATATGTCTTGTGAGCACCCTCTAGTGATTCAGCTCGCGTCCTGTAATGACGAGGAGCATGAATCCTGTTTGCGCGTCGGTAAGTACTAGGCCGCGCAAATAGCGAGAGGAAGATCAAACTTCCAGCCTTAGCCAAAGAGTTTTGCGGGACCATAACACGCATCATCTCTTTTTGTTAGGCTGACAGCCCTCTCCCTGGTGTCTCGTACTGAGGCAGAAGAGGGTGTCTCATGATCATCACCACGTAGTATAGTAATTAGCACGGCAGATAGAGAGGCGAGTGATCAAGAGAATCAAGAAGCAGATTTTTGTCCACGGAGAGATCCACGAGTGCCATGTCGAGAAGAATGTCGTGACGAGGAAAATTTTAATATCCCCGCCTGGTCGCTCTCGTCCCCGTGGTCGGGATGCGCGTTCTGCTCCTGGGGGAGAAACGCGTCACGGCCACCACGGCCGGAGCCCGCCTTCATGAGCCTGACCGAGGGTTTCCCTGGAGACCTGACCTACAATCATTGTACTCTGGTTCCTGTAGCGCGATATGCTCTCTTTGCCGCTCTTGGCTGGCTGCACCGCCATCACCAGCTCATCGCTCAAGAGGCAACATGCCAGTACTGCCGGAGTGGCTGGGCCGTGTTTCACAGCATCAGGGACGGACCACGATACATGTCTGAGCAGTCAGTGCTAGCCTCAGAGGCTTCAATAGCTACGCGCCAGATTAGGGAGTTCATGCCCTCGCCACGCCAGTACATCTCGTCGCGTCTGCGCTTGGCCGAGCGGCGACATCGCGCCCACAGCGGACACGCCATGGGAGGAAGACGCTACGTAGATCAGCCCTGACTTCCTGAGGCGCCAATTTCGAGATTTCATTTTTATGTCTGTGCCGTAGATGACAGCCTCAACGTATCTCGCACATGGCCCGCCAGAGACCTGGCAGACATACCACGCCATGCGTGGGGCATCAACACTGCGCACCACATCACAGAGCTCACAGCCTCTCCATTTCCAGCAACGTCGCATCTTCCCCGTTGAAAGCAGCAGCAGGCAAGCCCACCGCCACCACCACACAGCGCCAATGACTACCAGGCTATGCTACATTGCGTGACATCCCGGCCCAGCCGCTCCTACGCCATTATCAGACCTGCAAATTCCGCCATCTGTGCCACGAGAACCATCGCGCCTTCCTTGCTGTGGCCCGAGCACGAAATCTCTATCCATCACTGCGGGATGGTGCGGCAGGACTCGACGCCAAGTGCAGAAGCTCTCTTCTTCGTGCCCGGGGCAAGCCCCAAATCACAATGAAAAGAATGAAGAAGAATCCTCGAAGGATGATTGGGTTCCAAAAATTTATTTCCGAAAAATAACGATACTCAATGACAATGCTATTTAAGTATCCAAAAAAAGTAATGATGCATGAGAGGGAAAGGAAAGAGTGAAAACCAGAGGCAGGGTGAGAGGGAGTCGAGGTATATATACCCGGCGAGGACATGGTCCGTGCTAGTTGCTGTTGACATTATATTGCTAAAAGAAGACACCGACACCGACAGACCGCCTTGGCTTTGTCCGGCAGAACTCGGCAAGCGCTGGGGCTCAAGAGGCTAAAGAGGACAGGGAGTAGGAAGGGCAGGGTGGGTCTCGGCCTCCTCGAGGGCTAGGGCCTGGAACTGAGTCTGGGAGGGAGGAGCGGGGCATTGGGGGACGGCGGTAGAAGCACTTCGAACGGCGGCTTCTGGCTCACACTACACTGGCGTGCCGTTGGCTAGTGATCGGGCCTGGATATGCCTACACCTCCTTTGCTTTGCCTTTCCCTAAGCAAGCAATACGTCAGTTGTCCGTCCCCCGTTGCGGAGTAGCTCCATGGCAATGGTGGCTCTGACAATGATATTCATATTTGGGTGATGGGATATTGCTACTATCACAGCATAATGCGTATGGCCACGTCTAAAGACCCGTGGACAACCGCGCGTTGTTTTCCAGTAGCCTATCCCGCATGCGTCCAGCCAGCCTTGCGTTTTGCATGCTTCTCAAGATGTAGACACCGGCTTGGTCCGTGGAAAATGTCTCTAGCGCAGGCCGGGTCGGTATATTAATCCATATATTAATATCTACGCATCTATGAGATTCCTCCACTGTCAAGTATCCCCATGAGATAGTATCACACAAAGGAGCATTGCAGTTCCTCCTCCAGCCTGTCACGGGGCTAGCCTGGTGGCTTGAGTGTGCCTTCCCTTCTTGTAGGGAGCACCAACGTGATCCATGTAAACCGTGCGTCTTTGCTGCTCCGGAGCGCCCTCAGGCCTGCAGCGAGAGGGGGTGGGGCAGGGATGTGGGAACTGACGGGAAGAAACGCACAGAATCGCTGGGTGATTTGGGTCAGAGAGGGGAAGTGTATCAACGTCTTCTTTTTTTTTTTCCTTGCTCCCTCCTCACCTTCACCACCACGACTGAGCCTTCACCGCCACGACCGAGCACCATTAGAAGTGAGTTGCCTCCGACCTCCACGCGGCCTGCGGATAGCCATTTTGAGAAGCACTCCATCAATAGCAGATTGCTAAACTTGTTCGCTTCCACAACAGTCCCTTCGAATATCCAAAATGTCTGCTCCCGTCGGCTGTGAGTCCCGTATCCCGCCCACGCTGCTTTTGATATCGGCATTACCGATAGTTTTCCCCATCTGTATCAGGCCACTAACGCTTAGCCGATG